ATGTTTAGCAACAATCAAAACTTCATTCAAAAATTAAAAAAAAATTTTTTTTCAATTGGATTTTAGCCAAAAAAATTTTTTTCAAATTTAAAAATGAAAGGAATACATAGATAAAGCTTTTTCTCTCCAAAGAAAAATAAAAATGTGATGAGCAAAAAAATAGAGGAAGCAATAAAAAGTGGTGCTGACAAGATCAAAGAGCGCGCGGGACGCTACGAGGGAAATAAATAAAATAAATAGTAATCTTTCCAAACGTGTTAAAACAACAATTGTTTTTAATTTTTTATTGTTTGTCACGCCTCTAGCTATTTTGGAGATTTTTTTGTTTTTAGAGTATGGAAATTGTTTTTTAAAGAAAATTTGTAAAAATAGGGTTTTGAAGGGGAAAAGGTTATTTTAATTATTGTTCTGAGTTTTTCTGATTTTTTTAGTATTTTTAATTATGTATTATTTTTAAGAGGCGGAAACAAACAGAAATTGGTTATGTTGGGAACTTAATGTTAACAAAATAGATTTTTTTCAATTTTGTTTTTTTAAATTTTTAATTGAGTTTTAAGTAGAGACTGGATTAGATGTGATAGTCAGGGCTGTCCGCAATTGAAAAAAATTTTCCGCAGCGACAATTCGTATTTGCGGACAGCCCTGGTGGTAGTGCGAGAATCGAGATGGATATCTCGACAAATATCGATAAACTAAATTTTTGCCTGAAATCTCTTCCTAGTCCGTTCTCTAGTTTAATGTTCAGTTAATTTTAAATAAAAAAAATTCCTTCAAAAATTCTCAGACTTTAAAAACTCTCTTAAAGGTTTTGTTAAAAACAATTGTGATGATTTGATGATTATTCCACTAAATATGTAAAAATAAATTGAAAGAAGTGTTTTAGCCCATTAGAGAGATTGAAATGTTTTTTTTGGATGGAACAGGTCAGAAAACGAAGATTAACAAAAGCGAAAAAATCAACGAAAAAAGAAATAAATTTTTGGGAGGGGGAATGGCAAGAAAAATCTCTTTCGCCGCTAACACTTTCTCCTTTTCTCCTTTCTTTGTTGATTTGAGCAAAGGATGGAACCAAGCTTTTTTAAAGACCGGTTCGTATAGATATCACAAACAGAAGAAAAAAATTTTCTTTAGAGAAGAGACTAGCTTTAAATAAAAAAAATAATTTTTTTGAATGACCCCATTAGCGGGCAGAAGCAACCAAAAAACCGTTATATAAAAATTTATTTTTATTTGAATACCCCGCAGCAATCATTTGTAAATAAATAAATTTTTAATGTTTAATAGATGTGCAACAATCGAAAGAAAAATAAAAAAGTTTTTGAAGCTTTTCTTTTTCTTCTCTACAGGAAATGCTTAACTAAAATGACCGTTTGATTAAGAAAAAGAAAAAATCATCTTAAATAAAATTGTTTTTTTACTCATTAAAACATGATTAGAAGAGAGAATAATTAATAAAAGGATATAAAAAAACTAGAAAATAATTTATCATTTTTATTTTAGCAACATTTTTTGATTATTTCTATAGAAAAAATGCTTTGGAATGGAAAATAAAAATTAATTTAATTTGCTTTTTAATTAGAAATTGTGTTTTTAAATATTTAGGGAGCAAACCCCTTAGAGATCAACTAACGCTTAGGGTCAAGCCTTCAAAGAATTAATTCCGATTCTTTATGTCTTTGGCGTTCTGTCTTTTTATTAGCGTACGGTCTCCCAAGCATGGATGGGCTTTTCTGCTTTATTTTGACCGCGTTCCCTTGCTGCGCAAAACGTTCACTTACACGTCAACTGTAGTGCACTATGGTCGGCAAGCACTTAACCCCCTATCAGCGGTGTATACGACGGTTGAATTGAAGTTGGATCAGACGATTGGGATCAGTGACTAGCTAGGCTAGTATGATCCGTACTAGTCTGACACTGATAACAGCTTTTATACTATCCTTAGCCCCTGCTTACAATAATTGCGTCCTAACACTATAAAAGGCCTTGTTTTTTTGCGTCAATCATCAACCCTTCAGCAACTCAACTGTACGTCAACACTCATCATCACAAACATGGGCGAGGAACAACTTGTCACACTTCAGCCAGGCCAACGCTGCAACAAGTGGACCATTACCAAAAAGCTAGGAGCCGGCGCGTTTGGAGCAGTCTACCTCTGTACGCACGGAAATCTGACCGCTGCACTCAAGACGGAGCCGTTGAATGCCAATCCGCCATTGCTGGCCATGGAGGCACAAGTTCTGCAAGACCTGCATGGAATAAAGGAGGGCAAACACTTCACCAAGTGTCACGACATTGGGCGAGATACACAGATGGACCCAGCAGGCAGATCGGTGACATTCAACTACATCGTGTAAGGAATTTATTTTACTTTTCGTGGCGCGGATCTAAAATAAATTCTATTTTTCAGCATGGCGTTGGTCGGAAAGAGCTTGGACAAGCTGATCGAGGAGCGGCCGGGTCGACGCTTCACACCTGGCACTGCAATTGGCATCTCAGTGCAAATGGTCAACGCGATCAGGGCTCTCAACGAGATCGGCTACCTCCATCGGGACCTCAAACCAGCGAACGCAGCAATTGGACGTGCGGACGAGAACGAGCTGGATGTCCTCTATCTTCTCGACTTTGGCATGGCGCGGAAATTCAAACGCGAGGATGTGAGAAAAATTAAAGGAGTAAAAAATAAATTTTCTTTTAATTTTCTCTAGGGATCTCTACGTCGACCAAGACAGGCCTCAAACTTCCGCGGCTCTCCACGCTATGCAGCCATCTCAGCACACATCAACAGGGAGTATTCCCGCAAGGACGACCTGGAGTCTTGGTTCTACATGCTCGTCGAGATATACAGAGGATCACTGCCATGGGGGAATGTCGGCGACATGAACATGGTAAACACACCTAAATCGCTCAAATAAGATAAAAACAATATTTTTTTGTTTTTCTAGATCGGAGAATACAAGAAGAAAAGGCTGCCCAGCATGGACCTTGAGACGAGGAAAGCGGCAGTAAAAAGCCTCATCGATGGTTGTCCTCAAGAATTCGGCCAAGTGCTCAAACACATCGACAGCCTCAAGTTCTACACTCGCCCTGACTACAAATGGATCATGAAAATCCTCAAGGATTATCTCACCAACAACCGAATTCCAGAGAGGCCATACGACTGGGAGCAGGGCGGAGGAGGAGGAGGACGCGCTCCACCGCCGCCAAGTGGAGGTGCCGTCGACTCATTCTTCAGATAGAGCCTATAGAAGACTGAAGATCAAATAGATGTACTCCAACCCTCCCAATAATTTTCCCCTCTATCTTGTTGTACATACATTTGCCTCCCTTATATGTATAAAACTCACCTCTGTATTGTTTTGTTGTTTGTATTATAATGCTTGTATGTATATATATAATTTGTATTGCTTGTTTTTTCCATTAAATAAAGTTTTTGAAAAATTTTTTTTGTGTTGTTTAATCATTAAGCGTAGGATATCTGATTTTTAAAATTGATGTGATTTTTGTGAGTACATATTAATAAAATTTTAAAATAATGCCACATTTTCTCCATTTTCGGATTGTTTTCACTTCCTTTTTGCCTCATTTTTGGAACTACGCTTCATTTTTAAGGCTTAAAACTGATTCCTAATTTAAACTAGAATACCAGGCAAAAAATTTTGAGAATTTTGGAGTAATAAAAATCTAAAAATAAGACTTTAAATTCAAATTCAGAATCTAAATATACACAAATCAGAATTTAGATGTGTTTTCAGATAAATCCAGAATTAACACACAATCAGAACTACTCAAAATTAAATTGTATTTCTCATTATTTTTCCATAATTTACCCAAATCAGAATTTCTTTTTTTTGTATTCTATCACGTATTCTCAAATTTATTTTAAATAATCAGAATGTATTTTCGTTTAAAGATTTTCATAATTCTTTTTATGTAAATAAAATTTTGAAACTAATATATTTTTATTCTCGTCAAAATCGGCACAATTTTCGGATAAATTTGGATTTAAAAAAAACAGCAAATAAAATAAGGTTCTTTAAAAAGTGGAAAAAGGGTAAAATTGAGAATATACAAATATTTTTAATTTGAATAAAGGTTCTTTTTTTTGTGTATAAATTGACAGGGATCCTACCGACATAATAAACTCCTTAATTTAGGAATTGATAGCTCTCGACCCAAAATAAACGTTGGGACGACAGGACTCCTCTTCAATAATTTTTTAAAATTTTTATTTGCTGTTTTTTTTCTTTTTCTAATTCTTTTACAATAGAATAAATTTTGGAGTAAAATAAATTTTGGACAATATTTTTTCATACAATATACTTTACAACAGAAAAAAGGAAACGGAAAAATAAAAGAAAAATTGGAGGTTTTTTTTAAATTCTTTACAAAAAATAGAGATAATTTAATTTTTTTCAACTAATTTTTTAAATTTTTAGAGAGAAAAGGAAGAGAAGAAACTCGCCTGTGACTAGAGGGGGTATATAACAATTGAGGACGTTTCATCCGTTTCCTGGCAGCATGTTTAAGATGAGCATCGTAATTCACGAGCTCATTTACATATTTTTCATCCTTCATTTTAATATATGATTGTGGAAAACAGAATTTCTTAAAAAATTGTTAACATTAAGAATCAGAAATATTTTCAAGTTTTTGCGATATTAAATAAAATACCGTCTTCATTGTAATAGAATTCTCCCCCTCCCTTTTTTACGATTAAGTATCGCCGATTTAGTATTTGGGGCATATTTTGTGCCACTTGGACTTTCGCATTCCGCTTTTCGCGTGTCGTTTTTTTAAATTAATTTCGCTTTTCGCATTTTAAAATCCGTTTCGGCACACCCCTGCTGGATACTTAATAGTCCCCCAAAGCATAAAAACGGGGGGGGGGCATTCTATTAGAATAAATACGGTATATTATATTTCTAATTAATTCTGTCATTTCTTTCAGGCGTGTTTTTAAAAAAAATTTGTGTTTAATTTTAAAAATTAAAAAAAAATTTTCATACTGCGAATCTCGGATCTTTAAAAAATTGCTGATAGCCTCGATCAAGTAGGTAGATTTCATTGTAGTCAATGTATGGATACCGATGTTCATTTAGAATACGATCATGTCTGCGAAGTGCCGCAGCCCTAAAAAGAAAAATTAATTAAAAAATTTGTAAGGTTAAAAAATTTTTGCAAACAATTTTGCGGCAAGAAAAATTCAGTTAAAAGTAAATTTTGAGCTTTGCCAGTAGTAATTAAGTGTGCTGAGTTGGTATATGAATTCAAATTTTATTTCGAATCTCAGACCCGAATTCGAACTGGCCAAAAATGTTAATTTCCAATTTCTAAATTAAATTGACCACAGATCGCATTCTGCGATCTGTGCACAGAATGCAGCTGCGGACAATTGAAATAGGCCCCAGATCGAATTTAATTTAGAAATTGGAAATTAACATTTTTGGCCAAAATGACAGTTCGAATTCGCCGAGATACGAAATAAAATTTGAACTCATATTCTGACTCAAAACTAGCACGCGTAATCACCTACTGGCGACCCTCAAAAATTTTTAATACTAAAATTCATTTTCAATATCCCCTCATCTCTCTCTCCGAATTTTTTTTCTACTCACATATTTGGACCCCTCACTGATGAGAATTCACAATAGAAGATAGGAATGCGTCGTTTAGCTTCGTTGAATTGACCTTTTTGTTTTGGAAAAAATAAAGAAATGACGTCGTCTAGATTGTAGGCATTCACAGAATACTATATTTAATTAAATTATTTTTTAGTCAAAATAAAAATAATTTAAACCCTTAAAGACATTTCATCCCAAAAATTAAAAAAAACCTTAATATGTCCAGCATTGAATTCAAAAGGATATCGGCAATCTATGAGCACATAATTCGACAAAAATTCCTCTTCAGAAAGTGATTCCAACAAAAAGGAAAGCGTTTCTGAGCCAATACTTCGATATGCTGGACCATGTCTATGTGGATTTTTAACAGCTGGCAAGGAGTAATTCTGTGGAAATTTTAATTTTTAATAATAAAGGTAAAATATTGGTCTAATAAGTTTTTATGGAAAAGCTTCGGTAACCGGTTTAACAGTTGAAGTCGGTTTCTATGCTTTAAGAGGCAATCCCGGAGATTTGGGGTCCCTGCGGAAAAGTCTAAAAATAAAAAATCGATGCAGCTCGACGATCCCTTTCGAACGAGCTATCTTTTGCTTATTCGAAATACGGTTCGGGATTCGAAATTCGGTCCGGGATTCGACTTTTTTTTAAATCTGAGCTCATGTCAGATTCGTAACCAGCATATTTTTTTACCCAGGAAAACCCTTTTTCCTATTTTTAAAATTTTTTCCTATTTTAAAAAACCCCAATTCTCAGGGATTGCCCTTTAAAGGACAAGTAGCAAATTGGGTAATCGTGAAGAATTGGGGATACACTTTTAAAAGCTTTAAAAATTATTATTTTTTTCTGAAAATTATTTTATATAGGTAATCGACTATGCTGAACACGAATCCGTTAACAGATTTTGTCAAATATGACATTTTATCTATGATTTCTTATCATGTACTTGATTTCCAGTTAAGATTCTGTTGGTCATAACTTTGTTCAGAATTATTCAATCGAGCTCATTTTGGTGTCATTCGACTCAGCTCGATGAGCTCTTTCGAATGAGGGGTCATTTGTATAATCGAATTTTTTGACCCCAAAAATTTCCAAATTCGGGGGTCTGTAACTCGGCCAAATGAGGTCGGATTTCGTTGATTTTGGTGTTTTTCGATTCAGTTCGAGAAGCTCTTTCGAATGAACTATAATTTGTATAATCGAATATTTTAACCTAAATCGAGCTTACTCCCCCCTATGGTTTTTCGATTTTCGGGGGCCTATATCTCTGCGAGTTTTCGTCCCCGGCAAAAAATTCTTGAATATTTGAATTCAGCATAGTCGATTACCTATATAAAATGATTTTCAGAAAAAAATAAAAATTTTTAGGGTTTTTAAAAGTGTATCCCCAATTCTTCACGATTACCGCAAATTGAATATTAACCAAATTCAGTATAAAAACAATTGCAGGTCTACACTTCCTTATAAGGCTAATAATTTAGTAAGCAATCCCCTTACCTAATTTTCAAAATTAGATCAATATTAAAAAAACTAATACAAAAAAAAACAAAACGCTAAAAACACTTTCCATTTTACCTTCTATATGCATAATATAAAATCGCAAAAAAAACCTTGCACTCATCAGGAGAATCCCATACTTCTTTAGAAACGCGACATAAAACTGCCTGATTGGAAGCATCAGAAGAAGAAGACGTGCCGGATGAGCCAGAGGAAATTGAAATACCAGAATCACGGGAATCGGGATCTTCATGTTCTATTAGAATTGCTGTTCTAGTTGATGTGTTGATTATGCACCCCCCTTCTAATTCATTCATTTCTATAATTAAAAACAAAATTTGTGATAATTTGGGGGAAAAATGCAATTTGGGGGATTTGGGGGAAAATGTGTATTTTGCAATTTCGGGAAAAAAATGTATTTTTGTCAAGAAAAAGGTTTTGTTATAATAAGAGCCCTTTAAGAATTCCAGGGGGTTTCTTATAAAATACTAGCTTATGTTAGAAACTGCAATCCCATTATACAAATTAAAATATTCAGAAAATGACAAAAGAGTAGGATCTCAGTTTTACATACATTTTTTAGATGTGGCAAAAATTTATGGGGGAGCAGCCTTTTTTTATTATCGATTCATTTGAAATGTCTCTAGATGCTTCATATTTTTCAAAATTGGACTGATCTGATCTGAGCATTCTAAAAAAGGTTATCATTGATAAACGACGTCACAGGCAGAAAAAATCAGTTTTCCGTCAGTAACTTTTTTGTAATAATCAGATCGGTTCAATCAAGAAAAAATGCCGCATTACGAGACCTTTCGAATGATATGAAAATTATCAGACTCGGAAAAATATCAATAGAGTTATGGCCATAGACGAAAACGGCCAATTCTTTAACGGTTTCAAGTGTGTATGTATAACCGAAATCGGAAAGTATAAATGTAAAAAATTTAAAAATCTGTTGCGGAAAAAATTAGAAAAAATTGTGTCAAATAAAAAATCAAAAGATAAAAGCAGACTAATTCGATAAATCTGAAGCCTGAATTTTTTATATTTTTAAAGTTTTCTAAATGAAAACCCGAAAAGTTCGCAAACAACATTTTACAGTTTAAAATAAATTCAAATTCAGATTAGTAATAAAAAAATTAAATGAAAAAATAAATTTACCAATTTTTGGATAAAAAATAAATAAAGGAACAACAAAAAAATAAAAACAACTTTTAAAAGTTAAATAAAAAAATAATAACAAAACGCCAAAAATAAATAGAATGCCAAAAAATAAATATTTTTAAAAATGAGAGGTATTTTTTATATAAAAAAGGAGAAATAGCGTTAAGCAAAAACTTAATTAATCTTTCAATATGATCCAGAAAAAAAAGCCTTTTTGCCTTATTTTTCTTTTATATATTTGAATATTGGCTGCTAGAAAAGGAGAGAGAGAAAGATGGAACTTTCTCTAATATACCTAAGATTAGGTTTTTTAAAAGTGACAAGAAGATTAATAAAAGTGTATGAAAGAAAAGTAGAACAAATTCCGGAAGCAAAAAATAAAATAGGGGTAAAAGTTTGAAAAAATGGGTCGACAGGGTTGTCTTCTACCTTCAGACTACCGTTTTTTTATACCGAAGCAGCAAGTTGATTAGGGTTGGGGCCCGGTCCGCTCCGAAAGATCTATCCGGGCATCGAATTTTGGCCCCAAAAGGACTCGGTCGGGCCAGCCCGAAAAAATGCGGCACGAAAAAAATGACTCGAACGTCAGCCCGACTCGAAAACCCCAACTCTAAAGTTGAGTATTGCAACCATGGATAGACAGGGTTACACGAATTCGAACTTTTTTCGCCGATCCAAAACCCAAACCGACATTTTTCCAACCCGTGACATCCCTGGAAGCAACGGATACACTCCGCTTTACCGCTAGCCACAGCCACACAAAATTGTCAAATCCGGTAGGCCCTGGTATAGTTTGATTCAGCTCGCTGCATCGAACCATACTAGACGGCCTGCTTCCAGAGCAACTCAAATTTTTTTCGATCACGCATCTTTTTTACACCAAACATGATAGAAAAAATTCAAAACCATCCCAAAAATTTCCAAGTCATAAACAGAAGAAGGTATTAAAATTTCAAAAAAATGTTATAAAAAATTTTTATTCTAAAAGAATTTTTCTTCTAGTAAATATTTTCTTTCTCAGCAATGGGAAAAATTGCTTCATATTTTATGTCTGTTTCTTCCTATGCACCCACGTGCACCCTTCCACCTCATCATATTTTTCATCCTCGCCCATTTTACTCACCTCCCTTTAAGAGTCTTGGAACAAAAAGTCTTTTAAAAATTGTAGGAAGAAAATAGAAAAGTTGCGGACAAAAAAATATTTGCGGACAAAAAAGGAAAATTTGCGGACTGTCCGCAATTTTTTTAAATTATTTTTTTTCAAATTTCCTCTTTTAACTTTTTTTTTCTTTTCATCCTTTTTATCTTATCCTAGACATCTTAAAAAAATATTGCCAAACAGTTGAGGGTACTTTTGTAGTACTTATTTGGCTATAAAAAAGTTATAGCCCACGGCCTGATCCTTCCCCCCCCCCCCCCCCCCAAAACTTTTTTTTCACTCACTCACAGACTGGCCAACAGATATATTTTTTATTTTTTACTTTATACTCTCTTTTTTATATTCCATCACATATTTTTTTTCTTCCTTTCACAATTTGCCTAAAAATTCGAATATGACCTGTTGGCTTTGGCTTGGCTCCCTCCGAGCCTTTTTATTTATAACAATAATAATAATTTTTTACAAAGGTATTTTTTCTATGTTGGTTGCTATTTTATTTAAAAGTGGCACCCAATCATGCAAAAAAATATTCAAAAAAATATCTCCCCATTTTTAGATTTATTAGAAGGAAGGGAGAAGCACATTAGCATAATAACTTATTTTATTTGGGATATTGCTCAGGATCAATCAAAATTTTCCGAGAAATCTTTAAGTGATCCGAGGTTGTCGCTTCAGAATTATGGTTGCCGGAATCGAGCCGTCGTTCAAAGCAGTTTTCGTTTCTTGATTTTTTTACTTAGAACTATGAGTCTTTTCGTGCCAGATATACAGTTCCCGACACAATCTCTCGGACCGACTCGAGAGCCAAAAAATTTTTTTCTCGGACCGAGTCGAGAGCCATTTCTTTTAAACTCTCAAGAGATGTTAAATTTAAACACTCGAAAATTTTTTGCTACTTGAAGAAGCCTCCCCCTATAATTTAAAATTGCCACTTACAAAAACACGCAAAAATAGCTTCAATCTAAAATTTAAAAAAATGTGTTTCTGTCTTTCCCAGATTACGTAAATACTAAAAAATACCTATATGTATTTTATGTTCGGCATAATTACAAAATGAGAGAGAGGGAAGAGAAATGAGAGGAAAAAGGAGAAAAACAAATAAAAAATCTGAGGGCAACAAATGCGCAAACAAATAAACAGACAAAATATGCAAACAAAAATTCAAATTTTGTTTTTGCAAAAGCCGTTCTGACGCCTTTTTGTGAGTAATAATAATAAGTGGTTTTTATTTTTATGCGGTTGCCAAACATATTTAAAATAAGGGGGATTTGAAAAATCAGAATATTTAAAATAATTTTTTCAGAATTTTTGAAGTTAAAAAATCAGAAATTTAGAAACAGAATTTTATTTAAAAGAAAACAGAATTTAGAGTAAAATTTGAAAATCAGAATTTTAATTAGAAAGAAATACAAAATCAGAATTTACCATTAATATTTTGTCATCAGAATTTATTATTAAAAAAAACCAGAATTCAGAATAAAATTTTTAAATTAGAAAACCATTTAAAAATCAGAATTTTAAAGTCAGAATTTTAAAATCAGAATTTTAAAATCAGAATTTTAAAGTCAGAATTTTAAAATCAGAATTTTAAAATCAGAATTTTAAAGTCAGAATTTTAAAATCAGAATTTTAAATCAGAATTTTAAAATCAGAATTTTAAAATCAGAATTTTAATTTATTTATTACCAATTTAAAAGAAATTAAATATCAGAATTACCTTTAATAGTCATGAGAATTTCTATTAAAAAAACAGAATTTATTTAAATTATCATTCACTAAAAATCTAAAATTATTTTATTTTTAAATAAACAAAAAAAGATTAATTTGAATTATCCCTTTAAAAAAGGATATAAAAATATTAATAAACAAATCATCCATAGTATATTCTCAAACTCATCATCTACTCATTAGAGAGAGAAAAAAGTTTTCAGAGAAAATGCAAAAACAAATTTGCGAGCTTTTTTGCTGATGATTATCAGAAAAAATAATAATTAAAAATAAAACTAAGAAAAATATCAGAATTTAGAATTTCAGAATAAACAAATAGGAGGGGAAAAGAAATAGAAATCAGAATTTGTATTTAAATAAATCAGAATTTATGTAGTTAATAAAAATCAAAAATTAAATTATCAGAATTAATAAAAACCAGAAATGAAATTACCAGCATTAATAAAAATCAGAATTTTTTAAATTAAAAAACCAGAATTATTTAATTAACCAAAAGAAATAGACAAAATATAAAATAAAAAAATTCAGAAAAAAGTTTTGAACATTTTCTCTTCAAGTTTATATACGACAAATAAGGCAAAATATATGTAGTAGTAAAAGGTAATCAGAAAAAAGAGTGCGAAAGTTGCCGCCAACGATGGCACTAATCAGTAACACAAACAAAGCGAGGCTAGGCATAAATTCAAATTTGTCCTAATAAAAGGAGTTGAACTAGACAGTTAGAGGCTTTAAGAGTCTAAAAAATATTTTTTTAATTCTAGTGGAAATGGAAAATTGAAAAAAGTTTGCTAGGAATTAACAAAAAATCAGAATTTCAATTATACATAGGAAGGGAATAAGAATTGGGCGCGGCATAAACTGGCGCAAACAGTTTGGACTCGAACTTTAATTTTCCTCAAAATTTTATCCAGTCTTTATTTATGCAGCAACGAGGGATGTTGTTCCAACCAGTGACGCGGAAATTCCAAAATTTGGCCGGTTCCGGTTCCGGACCTTTGCCGGTTCCACTTCCGGAACCGGAACTTCCTCATCACTGGTTCCAATACGAGAAAAACCTCCTCTCTTGGTTTTGGGAAACCTAGAAGCAAGTTTAAATTCGGATGCCCAAACATGATCAGAAAGTCAATTCAAGATCAGAAAGTTAATGAGAAAAATGCAAAAACCCATAGGATTGAATTAATTATTATTTTTCTTTTTTAAAATTAAATTTAAAAAGATAAAGCCAAAAATCCGGAAAAAACAAAAACACTTTAACACTCAATTTGACCTAGAGAAACAAATACATTTGAAGGTGTGAATTGCCTTAGAAAAATGCCTTCAAAGGAAATTTGACAGAAAGGCAATTGTGTGAAGGTGGCAAAAAAATAAAAAAGGAGGAAAAAGAAGTAGCATGGAAATGGAAATTTTTAAATTTTTTTATTTAAAAATCAAAAAATATGTATATTTTAAAATTAACAGATTAAATAATTAAGACTAGAGCTTAAACTCGATTAAACAAAATTTGGTAAATGAAGGCCTAGAGATAATGCAATTTTATACAGATCTTTGTTATTATGGTCTCTGTCTTGTCTAAAAATTTCAGAATTTTTGATTTAATATTTCAGAATTTATAGCCGGAAAATCAGAATTTTTGTTAAAAAATGATGATTTTTTATTGCTTTTATGCCCATATTTTTGCCCATAACTTTTTAAAAAATTAATGAAAAAATTTGAAATTTAGAAAATAATTAAATAGCTCTATTGAGAGTATATGCTGAAAATTTCAAAACGAGAAATTCAAAATCAGATTATTTATTGAACTTTGAATTTAATTTTTCAAACACCGCAAATTTTTCTTCATAACTCACAAAATACCAAATCAAAAATTTTAAAATTTAACGTCAAGTTAGTTAACAAAAGCATCAATAAATACACAAAATTTTAAGAAGATAGGTTTACGTTAGAATTTTTTACAAGTCGAGAACTGAGGTATACTCGTGCTAAAAGGTCACTAAAGATTTTTCAAATTTTTATTTTTTTTTCATAGAGAAAAATATCGAGAATTTTTCTTTACTACATATATTCAACAGATATGCACTTTAATAAAAATACTATAATAAAATTAATAAACTTGTCACAGTCTGTGACTGACTCTGCCACTTTCACTTTATGCGCATATTCTCCCTCCCTTTTTTAAAAATTAATTTACCTGTCCCCCCCCCTCTCTACCAGTCTTTTTAAAAAATCTTTTAAAAACCCCTCTGCGCAATCTACTAAAATAAATCTCTTCATCATCATCCTTTACCGACTTTCACTTTATTTTAATTTTAAAAGCCAGTTCCTTCTAATAATTTATTTAAAATGCCCAATAAAATCGGAAAAAGAATTAATGACCTCTCCCCCATTAAAAAACATCAAAAGAAAAATTTTCAAAAAAAAAAACTAAAAATTCGCTCATAAAAATTATTAATAAGTTGGGAAACCTCCGTTTTGTTTAAAATTAATCTTGAATAAAGGAAGATTAAAATCAGCTTTGAAAAAATTTTTTTGATAGTATACTTCAGACTTTAGCGGTCCAACTTTGAACGGCCATAACTCGGCCCAGACAAATTTTCCAAAAAAAAAACCCGCAAACTACAGTAGTAAATCGAAGGTCCTCTATCGAATGGTACCAAAAAATATATCAAATTCGCACTTACAGTAAACAATGTTCCCTTGTTAGATAAAACAGCATTTGCGGACTATGATTTGCGGACATTCTCAATTAAATACAAAATAAATAATTTTTTGGCAAGTAATATCCCAGAATAATAAAAAAAATATGCTTATTAGTCCATAATAAGGGACTAATAAGGGACTTATTAGTCCATTTATTCAAAATTTAAATAAGGCTTCAGTTTTATCCGCAACAATTGTTCTCCCTCTTTAAGTCCGCAAATGTCAAAGGGAACCTAACAATAAGACAATATATTTTTTTGAATACCCCCAAAGGTTTTTTAAAAAAACAAAAGTGACCTTTTTCTTTTAGTAAAAATAGAATATACAAAAAATAAACAGATAAATAAATTTAAATTCCTTCAAATCCCCCTGATTTTTACCCTCTTTTCTCTCTCTCTAAATCTCTTTGCCTAACAAATGTTTATATATTTTTTTTATATTTTTGTTTATGGGTCAGTTGTCTTTTTCTGATTTTTATTTATTTTTTCTTTTTTTTCATTAATTTAATATCCCCCCATTCAATCCTCTACTCTATACTTTCTCTCTTACTTCAATCTAAACACATGTCCTAAAAAGTCTGAAGGTAAAAAATTACCCCAAAAAAATACAAGGATAGAGGGGGGTAATGGTCAGTAAGTCAAAAAAATAAGGGCAAACTCTCAAAAAAAGAAAATTGAAAGCCTTCAGAGCCGTCCCGACCCCACAAGAGCACGATGATATTGCGCAATCCCGTCCGTGCCATTCTTTCCCATTCTCAGTCAGTCTACGTCCCCACATCCATTTTCTCTCATCTCTTTAAGTAGCTAGCCTTCCTCTTCTATTCAGCAGCCAAAAAATTTGAATTTGTCCTTTTCGGCGCCGCAAGGGTAATAGAGGCTTGGGCATTTATTGGGGGTAGGGTGAAGGGGACATAGAAATGAGGGGGGGGGTAGGGTGAAGGGAACGAGCGGCACTAAACGAGAAGGGAAGGGAAGGAAAAAAGAGTAGATTTTTAGGGGGCCAGACCAAATCAAAAATAAAAACAAAAATGGCATTGAAGGGAAATTATTTTTGATTGAAAATATGGAGAGGGGAGGAAGGGGGGAATGGCATTGAAAAGACGGCACTGATTGAACAAAAAATTTAATTATTAAAAAAATTGGACCCGTTTTGGATTTTTTAGTGTAAAAAAAGTTTTTAATTGTAATAGGGAGGGGGGGGGGGGAAGGTGGAGGGGAAGGGGATAGGAGGGGGGGGGGGGGGGTTATATCAAAAAATTTGATCGTAAAAAATATAGGAGAGAGAGAAGAGATTAATTAGCGATATATTTAAGTGTTCCATCATTCTATTATTTTTTTAGAAAAAATTAATTCGGCTAAAAAATAAATCAGATAAAGAGACACGCGTCTAGGAAATTAATTGCTTAATTAATTAATTACTTAGGTATAGTCCAAAATTTATTACAAAAAAAGTTAATCGCTTGGCTTTTAATTTACATTATGTTATGTCCTCTAAATTATTTTTTTCTATTGAATTTTCAGAACACCCGGCCCCCCTTCGAAAATCACAACTCAAAAAAGGGAAGGGAACCCTCCTTCCAAATAGAGCCAGAAAATATTCTTTTAAATTAAAAACCCACCAAATTCTTCTTTCTCGTCGTCGATAATGACCAAATCATTGGCCATTGCCCTCTCCAATTCCATTTGCTCCCGGCTTTTAAGCCACCCCGTGATTTTGGAGGCATTGTGTTGATTCCCTATAAATTAGGGGAAATGATTAAAATTAAGTTTAATTTCTGAAATTAAATTCTGATTTTTCAGAAATTAAATTCTGAGTATTTTCTGATTTTTTAGAACCAAATTATGATTATTTTCTGGTCTTTCAGAAATAAATTCTGATTAAATTCTGATTTTTAGAAGTAAATTCTGACTATTTTCTAATTATTCTAAAATAAATTCTGATTAAATTCTATTTATTCTGAAATTAAAATCTGATTTGTTGGAACAATTTTTTAAATAAATTATGATCAAAATTCTGAAACCAAATCAGAATTCTGAATTTTACAAATTAACTTAAAAATAAATTCTGATTTTTTAAAAATTAAATTCTGATTAAAATTCTGAAATTTATTAAGTTTTCCACACCTTTTTCCATTCGACGACGCCCCCTCTGTTTTCTTCTTTTAACTCTTCTCTTTTTAATTATTTTCTTTGGTTTGTGTTGGTGGTGGTTTTGCTTTAATTGCTTAATTTTAGCGTTTTTATCTTCTTTGTTATTTGTAGAATAAAAGGGAATATTTAATAAATTTTTAAAAATATTTTTGAAGGAAATTTTGGATTTTTTTATTGAAAATTTGAGATTTTTTTTTGAAAAAAATCTAAAAAAAAATTTTTTTTAATAAAAAAATAAAATTTATTAAAATAAAAGTGCAAGAAAAAAAAGCATTCAAATTTTCAATGGTCATTTATTTATTTATTTATAAAGCCCTATTCCCCCCTTCTATTCATCCATTCTCCCCCTAATGACCACATCCCTCCTATTTTAAAAAAATAAGCTTTTAGAGGGCCCGTGTCCATCCACTTTTCCTCTTTTCAATAAAACAATTGTGTGTTTATTGTGAAAAATATCGGTTGCCTGTCATCACTGCAGGGAGAAACTGACTGTCTTTCTGTTTGCCATAATTTATTTTGCCTAGGGCAAATCGCCGGTGAAAAGAAGGGGGGAATTGATGGCCATCTGACAAGTAAAAAAATAGAAAAGGTAAAGCACAGCCGGTGGGTGTAAAAATAAAAATAATGTAAATGAACGGAGAAGGGGGAAATTTGTTTGAAAAGAAAAAAGGACGGCGCCCCACAGGGTTTTTGAAATAAAAAATAAAAACAAAAAGACCAGAATGAGGAAAAATACAAATAAATAATAATTAATCAGAATTGTGTATTTTTAAATAAATCAGAATAAAATAGAAAATAAATAAACCAGAATTTACAAATCAGAATTATTTCTAAAAATTCTGGTCAAAAAATCAGAATTTATTATAAAATACTTTGTGTGATTATAAATCAGAATTTAAGAGAAACTTATTATTAATTTCATGCTTTTTAGTACCAGAATTTATTAACTCGAAAATTCTGATTTTCGAATAAGAACTTAAGTTTATAAAAATTCTGATTTTTATTTGTTTTAAATTCTGATTTTTTATTTGTTTTAAATATTAAATCAGAATTATTTTTAAAATTTTCTTTTTCTTTTCAAAAAAAGTTTATTTTTCTTAAAGTTTATTTTCTTTCTTATTCTTCGGTTTTAAATAAATTTTCTTTTCTTTGCCCTTTTATTTTTTTCTGACCCCGCCTACTTTTGTCTGGCTTCTTCAAAAATCCCCTTCTTTTTTACTTAAGGGGGATTCGGCCACAAAATAAAAAAAAAGAAAATAAGGGGCGGGGGAAGGCTTGGCTTGGATGTTTATCTGTGCCGAAAAAATTGCCGTCCCTGCCAGCTTAAAAATTTTTTTTTCGAAAATTTTCTTTCTTAGGTCCTAAAAATTCTATAATAAAGCACCCTCCATTCTTTGAAAAAAATTTTAAAAATTAAAAAAAAAATTTTTTTTCACGCGTTGACCCTCATTCCTTTAAGGGAAAAAATGAAATGATGGGAAAAAGGGCGACTAGACAGAAATAAGGACATAAAAAGAAAAGGGAAAAAGGGGGGATATGTCCATTAGAGTCCCCCCTACACGTGTTTAACCTCTCTAAAAATAGAAAGTTTTTTTTAATAATTTTGGGTTCAAAGAAGAGACTCTGAGGGTAAAATGACGCTATCTTTTTTTGAAAGTAGATGGACTTGGAAAGTTTTTAGAAGAGATTAAATAAATATTAGGTTTAGAAAACAAGGGGTTTTTTAGAGAAAATTGCTAGGTTTAAAAATAAAAATGAGGAAAAAAGAAATTTGTGAAAAAAAACTCCATGGGTGGCAGTCTTAAATTTTTTAGAAAATTATTAAGTGTATCCTATTCGAGTCCAAATTTTATTTTTTTTGTGGGGACTGGGCTTCAGAGGTGAGTCAGAGTTCCATTCGATTTCCGAGTTTCGAAAAAAATTTCGATTTCCGATTTCCGAGTTCCGACTTTTGAGCAAGTTCCGATCTCCGGCTTTTCCAATTTCCGACACCTCTGACTGTTCCTACCCACCTCTGCTGGGTATTGGGTATTTTGTGGTGGCCAAAGCATATTGAAAAAAAACTTTTTAGAAACCCGTATCTATCATTTTTAATGAAAATTTTTATTAAATAATTTTAGAGACAAAAAAATATTTTTAAAAGAATTCTAGAAGAAAAACTTTTTAATTGAGCAAACACCAAAAGCCCTCAATAAATAAAAATAAATATTGCCTTTTTAATAAAAAAATAATTCTGAGGAAGAGCAACAAACTTGGAGGAAGATTACCTTTATTGATAAATGATATAGGTAATTAATCTATATTGATTTTAGAAGGAAGTGATGAGTAAAATAATAAAAAAATAACTAATTTTTAAAAAAAAATTTTTTTTTAATTTACAATGAAAATTAAAAAATTTTCTAGTTAACCTAAATTTACTTGAAAATTTAAAATTTTACTTGAAAATTTTATCCTTCGAAAAAAAAATAAAAAAATATGAGGATATGAGGGTAATAATTATTTATGAGGAAGAAGAAAAATGAGAAGAAATATAACTCAAAAAATATATATAGAATGGACGAAGAGAGGAAAAAAATTAAGGGGGATGAGGGAATTTATATATATCTTCTTTTTGGTGGGCGTGGCCTAAAAAATTATTTATAAAAGGGCCATTACTTGACCTCGTTTTTTGATAGAGGACAACAAAAAGGGAAAAAAGCGAAAAATTTTTAGGCCTTTGGAGGGGGGTGGCATTTTTTTGAAAAAGTGGGCCCTTTACTTAATTTTAATTTAAGGGAAAGCGGCGCCACATGGTGAATACAGGAATAATTAAAGTCTAAAAGATCGAATTCCTTTAGGTATCCAAGTCTATTAGAGTCTTGTTGAGAGAAAATTTTCTTTTCTTCCTCTTTTCCTCCCCTTGTTCTTTAAAAGCCTTGTGGGAAGCTAGAAACAATTTTTGCACGAGGGAGCAATTTTGGGGAGGGAGGGCCATTGGCATTTTTTGAAAAAGGGAAAGGGGAAAAGAGAAAGTAAAGAGGTCATCAGCCCCTCCCCTTCCCTTTTCACTTTTACCGGCTGATGAATGGGGAAAGAAATAATAAAAAAAGAAATTGTACTAAAATAGTCGAGAATCGAAAGTGGAATATTTTAATAGGAATGGGGTCATTTTTGAATATTTAAAATAGAAGGGAGGGTAATTAGAGTCTGAAAAGCGGGGGTATTTCAAATGGTATTTAAAATTTAATTTCCATAGAGAAATGTGAATTTTTGTTAAAATTTTGGAAAATGCCGGATCCCGTTTCGGGATTTATTAATTTTTTTATCGGGACCCCGAAATCCCGATCAAAATCCCGAAAATCCCGATTTTATCAAGATAGGCGGAACGGGATCACCGATTTTTATCAAAATACCAGGTCGGAATCCCGTCTCGATTCGAACTCTACTTAATAGTGTTGATTACAATTTAAATTAATATTTCAGAATTTATGGTCTAAAATTAATTAGAAAAGAAAATTCAGAAAATACTCCTCCATTGTTCACTGCCCCACGCCTTTTCTTACTGCGCCGAAAAAACAATCTAGACTGACTTGATTGATATTGCCCGGAGATATTGCCCCAAGAAAAATGATGTATAGGCGTGTTAAATTTGAATTTAAACGAAAGCGTTACTTTGTGCCATAATTAAATTAAAAAAACATATTCACACCTCCCAGTTTTTCTGGGGCTATTTGGGCTATTTTTGACAATTTTATAAAACTGCCCCCTTAACCCTATCCAAAAAATAATAATTCAGAAAAAATGCAAAAATTAGGGAAATGTTGCGACATTTGGCAAAGAAAAGGAATTTTTTTTGAAAAATTGCTGACCTTTAAATAAATACATTTTTATTCAAAAAAGGAAGGAAGGAAAGTACAAAAATTCTCGAGTGTCGGCAAAAAAATAAGAGGACACTTCTAAATAAAAAGTGAATAATTTATTTTTTAAATAAGAAAACAGATGGAAAATTATATTTTTGGAAAATGAAGAAAAAAAAAGAAAATCAAAAATAGTAGTGGACACAAGTCTTGAGGGGGAGTGACACTTACAGGTACGAGAAAAGAAAATGGCAAAAAATTGGCAAAAATATAAATGTACTTTTAAATGGGGGAGAAAGGTAAATAAATTAATAATATGAAGAAAAAATAAAAAAATCAGAAAGGTTGATTTAAATAAATTTTGGAAGGTTCTAAAGGAAGGTCAGTTAGAGTAACTAAATTGCAAACACAAAGTATTGTTTTGGTAGTTAAATCAGAATTTGTATTTTTCTTTTAAAAAATGTGTTTTTGTGAATAATTCTGATTTCTAAAATACAAAATAAATTCTGAAATAAAAAATAAAATACATAAATTCTGATTTTGAATTATGATTTTATTCTGATTTCGAAAATCAGAATTAAAAGAAATTCTGATTTAACTAGAAAAATAAATATTCTGAAATTTTGTATTTTAAAATAAATTCTGATATGATTTAAATTCTGATTTAAATAAAAATTCTGATTTAAATAAATTCTGATTTGTTTATTTGTATAATTCAAAAAAGAAAATACAAATTCTGAAAACACAAAAATATTATTTTGTCTGGACAAAAAAACTAAAAATAAAAAAAAATAATCAGCTGGCTCTTTGCCCTTTTCTTGATCAAATTGATAAAAAATATTAAAAAAAGTCTGTCTCGAAAATAAAAAAAATATGAAAAATTTATTTTTGTTATCTTGGTAAATTATTTGTTGTTTTTTAGTTTTTTAAATTAGAAAAGTGACCAATCTATGAGAATTTTAAAAAATTTTTGAAAAAAATATTCTTATTTAAATAATTTTGTATTTTTATCTTAAATTTTTGGTTGAAAATTCGAACGTCGGAAATGTTCAGAAAAACCAGAATTTAACAAATAATTGTGTTTTATATCAGAATTTAAGAAATTCTGATTTATTTTTTCTGATTAAAAAAATAAAGCCTGCGGTAAAGATACAGAGAGTTCAGAATTATTTTAATTCTAAAATTAATTGTTTTATTAATTTTTAAAATATTTAATTAATTAAAAATTTAGAAAAAATATATTAAAAATAAATTAATTTTTCTATTAAATTACCTATTTAAGAAAATATTTTTTTAAATATTTTAAAGTAAAATATTTGAATTTTTTGCAAAGAAAATTTTCAAAAAAAAATTCAAAAAAAGTGCATGGTCAAAAAAAAGAAGAGTGACCAACCAACCAATCTATGAGAATTTTCTTTTGGTCATTTTCTTTTAATATTTTTGAAAAAGCCAGCCGGTTTTTGAAATGTCTGTGTTTTTTGCATCGTTTGGCGGAAATTGGAAAGAGTCATCCCCCCGAAGAAAAAGCAACGGAAAAGCTAAAAATTAACAAAAAAAGTCAGACAAATTAAAAATATATAAAAAAATAAATGAGGCGAAAGGAAGAAAAAATTAAAAATTTTTTTGAACTGTTTGAACTATTTAAATAAATACAGTGAAACGTTACTTTTAGATACCCCAAAATTATATATCTCTCAGATTAAGACATAGTTAAAGTTGGGTGGTCACTGGGCGAAGGAACTTCCTAGACAATACTTCCTATTTAAAATACTCTCATTATAAAGTACTTATTATAAAGTAACCTTGAGAGGGATCTAAAAGTGAGGATTGATGATTGTAAAAAAATAATCAAAGATTTTTTTAATTAATAAAAAATCAAAAATTTGAAAAAAATTTTTTATTTTATTAAAAAATTTTTTACTTTATTAAGAATAGGCAAAATTTTGTTCTTTTTAATGAAAAGAATTTTAAAAAGAAAAATAATTTTTAAATAAAAATTTAAATAAAAAGCAAATCCAAAAGTAAAAATAACCGGTAATTTTTAATGCTTGTCTGACAATGAGAAAGAAATTAAAAAGGAACAATTAAATATCTAATGTTTTTGGCATTTAAAATTGAGAAGAAAGAGAAAATAAAGCAAATGAAGCAAGATAATTATTATGTATATTCGTTCCGGTTGTTCCGGTTTTTGAATAAGAGAGAAAGTGAAAAGGAAGAGGGAGGGGAAAAGAAGAGAGAGTTAAGTTGGAAAGAAAGTTGTAAAGAAAGTTGGAAAAAAGTTGTAAAGAAAGTTGGAAAAAAGTTGGAAGAAAGTTGAAATTAAAGTTGGAAAGAAAGTTGTGAAGAAAGTTGGAAAAAAGTTGTAAAGAAAGTTGGAAAAAAGTTGGAAAGAAAGTTGAAATTAAAGTTGGAAAAAAATTAAAAAAAGTTGGAGAAGGTTGTAAAAAAAGTTTTAACAAAAAGTTGGAAGACTTTATTTACTATAAAAGCTGAAAGAAAAAGTTTAAAAATGAACAGAAAGCGGTTAGTAGCTAAAATAAAAAGAAATTCAAGTTTGAAAGGGAAATTAAACCTGAAAGAGAGAAAATAGCTTATATCTCTTTTTACCCTTTCCCCGATCTTCTCCTTTTTTCTCAACTTCCGCCATTAAGTTCAAATCTTTGCTTTAAGCGTCTATTATGGAAGAAATAGCCGTTGGGGAAAGACTAGTTCTTTTTAAAGAAGAGGAATTCTTCTTCCCTTCCTTCCACTAAATGGACACACAAGTTTTAAATAAAATTGTGATCGTTGAGGTTGATAAGGAAATTTAAAGAGAAGAAAGTTTTAATTGAAATAAGAAAAGAATTTTAAAGAAAATATATTGGAGATTAATTAATTAATTTTGTTAATTGAAATTAATAAAAAATAAAATTGAAGTTTCTATGAGAAAGTACAGTGAGAGAGATTTTAGCTACCCCAAATTAAATACTTCTTTAAGATATATTTTTTAAATTTTGTTGGGTATTGAGTGGAGGGCTTCCTAATAGAGGCATGCGAAACTGAAAATTTTCCTAGACCAAGACGAAAAAAACCCAGAAAAAGTCTTGGAATTAAGAATAAGACCAAGAGTCGCATGCCTCTACTTCCTAAGCTATACCCATCTATGTATGCTCTATGCTCTAACGGTCAAAAAAAGTAAAAGTAACGTCTCCTATTCTCGATAAAATATTTAAAAATAATATAAAGTAATTAATCGTCGGAAGTTAACAAAAATATAAAAGAGAAATTTTTAAAATTAAAAAGCGGCCATGAAGGACAAACTCTAAGGGAGGGGGAGGAGGGGGAGGGGGGGAGAAAATAAAAGAGAGAAGAGAAGGTTATTTAATTAATTAATTTTTATTTTTTAATTTAATAGGCGCGGAAATAAAAAAATTAAAAATAGCTTGGGTATTCCAGCTCAAGTTTTTAATTCATTATTTTTATTTTTAAAAATAGTTGAAGTAGACAGACAGTGGCTGGCACCATTAATTAATAATAAATAAATAAATATTTTTTATTAAAAGAAGGACATTAAATTATTAAACTTTTTTTAATAAAAATAAAAATATATAATTTTTAATAATAAACTTAAAATATTTTATATACACAAGTACTTAAGTAACCAGAATTACAAGTATTGCCTCCGGTTTCTAATTAAGAATTAAATTTATTTATATTTTCTGATTCCGGTAACTTAATTTCTAATTTCTAGAAATATATTTTTAAGATTTCTGGAAACACTTGCTGGAAAAATTAATGAGGATATGGTATAGTGTGTGGCCCATTATTAAAATAATGACCAAAATGGTCAGAACGTTTGATTAAATCTATAGGAGCCGGCTAGACGCTATTGGATAAAACAGCACCGCAAATAATTATTTTAGCAAAAATTCTATTAATCGTTCTGTCCACTTTTGTCATTAATTTAATAGTGGCCACACACTATAATATATCCCTTAATATTCCCAGTAATTCTGATTCTGTAAGACTTTGGTATGTAGTTACTAACCAGAATCAGAAATGCTTTTTTTGAAATTTTCCGGTTCTGAAAATATTTTTGCTTTTCCGGAAAACTTAAAAAATCTAAAAATTCTGATTTTTCTGATTCTTAAGGAAAATTATTCACCTTTTCCAAAACCTATATAAAATGTCTATAAAATTCTGATTTCTGGAATCATTTATATTTCAGAAATATATTTTTAATATTTCCAAAAATTATGATTTTTCCATAAAATTTAAAAGTTTAATTCCCTAAATTATATAACAATTAATTTTTGATTTATTCGTTTTCTTTCCGCTAAATCTCATCAAAATTTAAAATATATCCATATAAAATTCACTTAATTTTTCACACAATTTTCGCCCATAAAATAATCGCCAGAGGCGTTTTTAATTTTACAAGCTTCTCATATTTTTAAATTTTTTCCCTCACTCTAAAAACAATAAAAAAAAACAATTTTACCCCTAAAAAATCCAAAAAAAGCTTCTATTCGCTTTTTTAAAGTGTCAGCTGCAAAATGAAAGGAAGAAAAATTTGAGTTTGCAAAAAATTAGAAGAAAAAAATAATTCTTTTAAAAATCTCTTTTTTAAAGAAAATTATGCGCATAATTTTCGCTCTGGTATTTTTTGAACGGAATTTTTTTTGTAAAATTATGAAAATTCTTTTAAATCATTTAAAGTCAGAATTTACGCCCCAACAAATTAACGGGTAAAATTAAAGAAAAAATTAGGTGAGGAAATGAAGGAAAGAAAAATTTTTAACAAAAAATTTTGTTGGAAATTAAATTTATCTATTTTTGATGTTTTAAGATAATTTGTATGACAGCTGCAAAAAAACGAGATTTTTGTAATTAAATTACTTCATACATACACTGTGGTGCAAAAGTTTATATACACTGACTGAAAAGTTTTGAGAAGCATGGCAATCCACATTCAGTGTTCCCTCACGATGATGATTCTGGACAGGTCCCCGACCCGTCGAGGAATACTCCTCAACACCGATCCTTAACATAATATTCCCCGACATCCCTGTTCCTGAGAAAGTTCTCCCCGACAGGTCGGTTAAAAAAAATTTTTTAAGTCCTAGTTGAGAACTCAAAAGAAAATTTTTTGTAAAAATAAAATTCTGGGTATAACAGGATTAAGGATAATTCTTGGAGAGATTTCAAGATCAACTCCTTCGAATATTTTGTTATTTTTTAAAAATAGGTTTGGCTGTCTTGTATTGTAGTAAATTAAAAAAATAATTTTAAAAAAAAAGAGAATTTACTAAAAGTGATCAAAAAAATATTTTAAATTTAAATACATAAAAAATAAAATGAGTAGAAAAAAACTAAAAAAAATGTTGAAATTATGAGAACAAAAAATAAAAAATTCTTTTAAATATTTCCTTTAATTCTTATCATTTTCCTTTTCTGTCTAATCATCATCTAAACCCGCTGTTATTTATATTTTTGTTAATATTCCAAGACCTTTTTGGCCGATCTATTAATTTATTAGAATCGGAAGAAGAAGAAATGTTACTTTTTCGTTCTCTTAAAATTGAAGAATTTGTTGTTGTTGTTAAATTGTTGTTTGGTGTATTTGTTGTTGATGTAGAGGGTTTTAAAATCTAAGAAAAAAAATTTTGAAAAAATTTTTTGACGCAATTTAAATTAAAAATATAAAAGCTCTAAATAAGCTTAAATAAAAGCTTGTAAAATAATAGAGTAAATAAACTCAAATTATGTGATATACTTAAAGGGGAATGCCGAATATCTAAAGAAGATAAATTGGGGCAAATTACTAGGACTGATAGAGAAGGAAAAATAAAAAGCTAGGTAATCAAAATTCATTAAAGGTTCAGGTGCTCTAGTGATTGAGAGCTACCCAAGGTTCTAACTTGATAGAGCTATGCAAAGAGCTAGGCAGCTAGGCTCTACCCAAGAGCTACCCAATCTTTCTTTATCTTTTATTTTAAATGGTAATTGTCTGGATCTTCCTTTCCCCTATAATGGTGTCTTAATCACTATCAGAATCTCTTAGATCCTTAAAGTTTGAGATAAAAAATTTCCAAAAATATTTTTTCAAAGAATTTAAAATTTTCTCACTTGAAAAGAGCAAAGTAATTCCCTATCAACATTCATCACAGCCCCAGCATTATCAAATTCTCCACAATAATTAGGAGCAGAAAAAACCGTTACAAGCCCCCTCCTTCCAAAGAATTCATAGCCATCCTCGACTACTTGATGCCCTCTAACAATTAAATCTAACTCCATTTTTGCCAAAAATTGGTGCAAAACATCAGCTCCAAATACATAACTAACACCCCTTTCATTGGGTGCCCATCCTGTGTGAACACCCGGCTCTGGATCTGACCAGAGAATATCACATAAAAGGCCTGAAATAAAAACAGATAATTGGTTGGAATTGATAATCAGAACAATTAATTGGTCAAAAAATTAATTGATCAATTAAATACCAAATAATTCCTAATTAATTGTTTTATTTCCGATAATTTTACAGATTAACTAATTAAAAATGGATTAATTGGAAATGGATTAATTGGTAGAACTGGTAATAATTATACTAATTAATTAGTAGGATAATTAGAATTGAGAACAATTAGATGACCAAATAATTGAAAGATAATAGAGCAGACCTGGTCACGGATACTGATTTTGGTATCCGTATCCGGATATTTACGGCGGATAAGGCGAATATCAGCAGGCATCTTGATATTATCTGTATCCATATCCATGACCAGGTCTGTAATAGAGAAGCACATCCCAAATAGAAGTTCATGCTCTATTAGAAGTTCACTCAATGAGATGTATTGGAAAAAGCCCAGGACTTCTATTAGGACATTTACGGAAATTTAAATTTTATTTGACCAATTAACAAGTACAAAACAGATAATTAAACAATTAATTGTTTAATATAATTGGTATCTAATCGGTCAATTAATTTAATAAATAAAACAATTAATTGGGCAATTATTTGGTATTTTTTTCCAAATATTTATTTGTTTGTGTAAAAATAAATTTTAAAAAATTCACCAGATTCTTTAACTTCAACAGGTCTCTGAATCCGTTTTAATTGTTCCATAGTCCTTAAATGAGGAGACAAACCGCCGTGACAACAAAAAATTCTTCCCTTTAAAAATTTGTTTTTTTTTAATTTTTTAATTAATTAAAGTACATTAATTAAAGCAGCAATAGGTAAACAATTAAAAACGTCTTGAAAAGCTTTCCAAACACGCACACTAACTCTGTTTTTGCCTTTAAAATTTTTTAAAAATTATTTCCAATATTTTTTTCATTTATTTTACTTTAATGTTTTTATAAAATTATATTCGTATAGTTTTTTGTCTAGACAAAAAACTAAAAATAAATTAAAAAATAAAATAGGTAGTTTGTAATTGTGGTCATTGGCCCTTGTTTTGATTAATAATCATTTTTGATTAAATGAAAAAAGAGGGAATAAAAAAATATATTTATTTAAAACTAAATGAAGGGACATGTCCGAAAATAGAAAAAAAATTTTTTTAGAAAAACTGCTTAATTAAAAAAAATTTTAGAAAAAAAATTTGAAAGAAAAGCTTCAAGTAAGGGTAGGCCCCAAGTAGGCACAAAGTCATAACTTGCTTCAAGATTTCCGAATCCTTCAAAATCTAGTATTAAACGATTCCCCTCATCAAGCTAAAGAGATTGGTACCAAAATTGATTGTTAAGGTCTTTCAAAATTCTTCAATCTTTCAAATGTTAAGGTCCAGAAATTTCAAGCTAGTTATGACTTTGCGCCCGCTTAGGCGTGTCCCGAAAGAAAAAATTTTTTTTAATTATTTAATTAATTAATTATTACATTCATTGTAGAACCCGTATATTCGATTGAGTGCAGCAACTTCATGATTCCCTCTAAGCATAAAAAAGTTGAGAGGATATTTAAGTTTGTAACAAAGCAATAAAAGGATTGTCTTTAAAAAATAAATTTTTAGAGAAAATTTTTTAAATATTCACTTCGAGACTGCGAGGTCCTCTATCTACATAATCCCCAAGAAAAAGATAATTTGAAGAAGGGGGAAAGCCACAAACACGGAATAGACGAAGAAGATCCTTTTTAAAAATAAATTTATTTTTATTTTAATAATTTATTTTGATAATTTAAAATTTTATTTTAATAATAAAAAATTAAATATTAAGTAAATTGTAAGTACTTAAGTAACCGGAAACACAAACGGGGTTTTCCCCGTATTCTGACCAGAATATTAATTAATTTGTATTTTAGGTTAATTCATAGAAAACACACTGAATTCTGATATTTAATTTAAAATCAGAGTTCTGGTAATTTAAAAATCAGAATTCTGGTAATTTAAAATTAAGAATTCTGATAATTTAAAAATCAGAATTCTGGTTATTTAAAAATCAGAATTCTGATACTTAATTTTAAAAAATTCTGATATTTAATAAAAATCAAAACAACCCCAGAATTAAAATAAATAATAAGACACTTAAGTACTTAAAAAACCAGAAAAAGAAATCAGAATTAAAAAATCTAGATTCTGGTCTTTCATTTTAATTTAGTATTTTTCGAATGTTTTCCGGAAGAAGAATTAAATAAAAATCAGAATTATTCCTCTCATATTTTTAATAAAACCAGAATTTTTCTTGAGCCTTTCCGGAAAGTTTAAAAATAAAAATAAAAATTACAGAAAATTGCCCATGAATGTCGCCAACAATTTTAAGAGGCGCATTTAATTCTAACAACATTGGTTGTGAGAGGAAAAGCTCTCGACTTAGATGACATATTGAACGAATTTCTCGTTCACTTACATCCAAGCTATGTCTCCATTGAGTTTGCTAAATAATTAAGAATTTTATTTTGATTTTCTAAAAATTCTATTTACTTGTGCCGAAACAGTAGTTAATCTACTAATAATATTATCAATATCTATTGGTTGATAACAAGGCATTGAAGAGGAAGTTTTTCGTCTTGAGACCATTTTTAAATTTTATAATTTATAACTAAAAATTATTTTTTAATTTTTTAAAAGGAAAAAAGACTACGTAAAGAAGGTGTGTAGGTGGGATAAGCGCGAGCTTATAAAAATTGCCAAATACGCTCTAGAAACGTAAAATTTTGCAGAAACATTCCAAATTATTTTATCTATTTTCCCGCAAAATTTAAGAATTTTCGGTTAATTATTTTTGGAATTATAATTAAAAAATAGCAAAAAATCAGTAAAAATTCTGTCATTTTTGGCCAGAATTTCTGAAATAATTAATCAAAAATTCTGAAATTTTCAGAGAAGATAGCTAACAGTATCAAATATATTTTTACAAAATTTTACGTTTATAGGTGCTATTTTGACAATTTTATGAATTTTAGAGTAAACGTCAAACAAATTATTATTGAATAAAAATAAAACAAAATTTTCTGTTAAATTTAAAAAATGTTTGAGGTAACAAATAATTTAGAAAAAAATATTTTAAAATCCATAGAATAATTGTGATGCCTTTATTTGGCGAATTACAAAAACAATTTGACGAATTTGATTATAGAGAGATTATTTAAATTTAAATAAATTTAGTATATAGTTTGTGAAGGCAGAAAAGGGAGAGGAAAACATTTGAAATTTAAGAAATTATTTAAATAAAAATAAAAGTAGCTGACATAAAAATCCAATTCCCGATTTTCAGGAATCGGGTCGGCTAGATCCGTGTTAAGTACCTCCAAAATGGGATACGATTACGTAGCATATAGAATATACATATGTAGAAATGGCCTGAGGTTTTTTGGACTGACACATTTCTAAAAGAGGTCATAGACAGATTCCCTGGGTGGGGAAGCTGTCTAAGTGCTAAATACTTCTCATTCTTAAATACACTGTTTCAACCAAGGGTGTATTTTATCACTTAAAAAGATCCTCCAACATTTGCCTATGCCATTCTCCCAATTTTAGGTAAACCTCAATCCTATATACAACCTTTTTTCATTTCCCAAGGGTGTACATATATACGAATCCAGACTAGACTTAATATATAAACGATTATTAACTTTTTTTTTAATTTCTAAAATTAATTTTGAAGGTAATTTTAGGAAAATATATACTAAATAACCAATTAGATAACCAACTAAAAATTAATTTTTAAAAAAATAATTAAAATTTTCACAGAAAACTTTTTAAATAAAATTGAAAAAATTAATTTAATGAGTAAAAAGCTAAATAAAGAAATCAAAAAAAATATTTTTTTAATAAACTGTCTAGATTATTTATTTATTTTTGGAGTATTTTCCCTCAGATTTTTTTAAGTAAAAATAAAAAATAATAAAATATGTGAAAATTTTATGACCATAAAAGCACTCAAAAAATATTCTTTTTTTGATAAAATATAACAATTGGAAGAAAAAAAGAAAAAAAGTTTTATTTTATAATAAAAAAAATAAATAAAATATTTAATAAAAAATATTTACTGCTTAAAAAGCAAAGGAAAAAAGTCGGGAATAAATAAATATAAAATTTGAAGGAAATGACAGAAAAGGAAATGGTTAAAAAAAATAAATAAAAATATTTTTTAAAAGAATTTTTTGTTAAAAATTAAATTTAAGATTTTATTCAAATTGGAATAAATAAAAATTTTTAGCTTTTTTTTTATAAGTTTAAAATTTATTTTCAAATTTATCACAAAGGTGTAGATTATAACAAGAATTTGAATATATAGTAGTGATGTCCGGGAGAAGAAAAAACCCAGGAATGGGAAACGGTAGTCGGGATCAGGTCAGGACGCAACTGCGGATTGCGTGGAATTGCGTGTTTTTTGGAATTGCAGACTGCGGCTACGGAAAGATTTTTTTCAGTTGCGTCCAGCCCTGTTCGAGTACCCTAACATCACTAGAATATAGCGAGTTAAAAATCCCTTTTCCCGAAAGAGAAAGGTAAGATTATCAGAAAAGAAGTGGAATTTAACTTATCTTGAACCTTAAAGTATATTGTAAAATAAGCTCAGGAAGCCTTCAATTATGTTACAAAAATCTTTCAAATTTAGGTTTAACAATCTAACTAACTAAAAAAATTAATTTAAAAAAAATTAATTTAAATTTTATAAAAATATTTATTTGGAACATTTATTTAAGTACTACTCACAAAAAATATTTTTTATTTAAATCAAAATAGTAAAAAAAGGAAATGAGTTAAAAAATAAAAATATTTGGTAAAAATGGGCCAAATATTTGGGTAAATAAAAATAGAAATGAACAAAAAGGGGAAGTATTTAATAAAAAAAATGTTAGGAATGGGAGGGAAAAAACAATAGAAAAAATAATAAAGTACTTAATCTCTAAAGTTTTTACATAAAAATACATATTTTTAGACAATTTTTTTAATAATTATTTTAAAAAATTATTTTTTTCTGAATTTTTGGGTGACTAAAAATAATTTTTTTTTAATTTTTATGTTAATTTTTAATAAAAAATTTAAATATTTATTTTTAACAAAAATATTAAAATTCCAAAAATATTTCCAAATAAATCCGCAAAAATATTTTTTTATTAAAATATTATGAATTTATTCATGAAAGTCAGATTTTCTTATTTATGAAGAAAACTTCCACGTACAACTTTAAATAAAATATGTAGTAAATTCAAGGAAGAGTATAAAAGCGTTAATAAATTAAAGTTTCAGTAATTAAAGAAATTATTTAAAAAATAAACTTTATAAACTTGATAAAATAAACTTAATATTAAACAAACTTAATTAAAGTTTTAAAAATAAACTTGGCTGAAAAAAACTTTAAAATAAACTTGAGTAAAATAAACTTGATAAAACACAAATTAAGTAAACTTAAAAAAATAAACTTGTTAAAAATAAACTTGAATAAAATATTAAATAAAACTTGGAGAAATACAAAAACAAAAATACATACAACTTTAAATAAAACTTGAAATACGAGAAGACTTTTCCAACTTTTTTCCCCTTTATTTCAAGATGGAATGTTTGTATTTCTTTTTTTGTGTTTTATTTTATTCTGAGAAAATTTTCATTTTGTATTTTCAACTTAACACGCGTTCTCTCTATTCAAATAATGTACATATTTTCAAGTTTTGTATTGTTTAAGTTTATTTATGTACATACAAAATAACGTCAATTGAAAAGAAAAGAAAAAAAGAAAAATTTTTTGTTTGAGAAAAGAATAAAAGAAAAAAATTCTAAAAAACTCTGTTGGATTTTTTAAAATAATTATTTTTAAAAAATAATTATTTAAATAAAAATAGAAATTTTTGGGATATTTTGGAAAGAATAAAAATCAAAAAAAAATTTTTTATAGGTAGAAAATAAAGAGAATATTCCCAAAAAATAACAAAAACTCGCACGTTTTCGCCATCAAATTTAAAAATAGTTAACCAAAAATTACCAAATTTTTAAATTAAATTAGGGTAGCTCCCTGTCCCATGAAACCTCGACGATTTTTTTGGCAAAAACCCGACTCGAACCCTTAAGGCTCTGCCCCGGCAAACCCCGATCCCCGACAATCCCGACCCCGAAGTGTCGAGGAGCTATCCTACTTTAAATTAAATAATTGACATAAAATAAAAAATATTTTTTGAGTAAATTTTTGACAAGAAATCTTCTAAAATGATGATTTTAGAAGCTTCGGAACGACTCGTTTACCTCACCTAAAAATTCCCCTTATTCTCTTCCAAATTTTTAATTGTTTGGGGAATTGAACCAAAAATTTTTAAAATTATTTTTAATTATTTTCTAGTCATTTTCTATTTTTAAAATATTTTCTTTTGTCATTTTTTAATTAAAACAATAAAAAGGAAAGTGTTGCGAGAATTGGTGTAGCTACTTAAAAATAATTCCCCTTTACACCCACACAATTTATTATATTTTCTTTTTACTTAATCTAAAAAAGGGCTATAAATAAACTGAAAAAAAATATATAAAGTTTATAAAAAAAAAGTTTTTTTAATAATTTATTGATGCGGAAATTTAAAAGGTAAAGAAAAAAATTTTTTTAAGTTAAAATTACTTGGAAGAGTAAATCAACTAGAAAATAAAGGAAATATATTTTTAAAAATAAATATATATTTTTATAACGTCAGTTAATTTATTTTATAAATATTTTTTAAACATTTTTTGAACTGGAAAAAATTTTTAAATTAAAAAGAAAAAAAATTTTAAATAGGCAAAAGGAACTGTTAACAAGTAGTTGACAACGCTTACACAGAAATTTATAAAACAGCCTAAAAATTAGCTAAAATTCTGAAAGTTTGCAGAGATGAAGGTAATACTATTAACTAACTCTGGTATAAATTTCAGATTTTTTGGTAAAATATTTTAAAAATTATGGACAAAAAATGATGAAAAATGGGCATTTTTAGAGAAAATTCTGATTTTTTGGTAGAAATTCTGAAATTCTCAACAATAAATTCTGAATTTTTGCAAAGATGATGGTAATACTATTAACTAACCCTGCCATAAATTTCAGATTTTTTGGTAAAATATTTAAAAAATTATGGACAAAAAATGATGAAAAATGGGCATTTTTAGAGAAAATTCTGATTTTTTTGGCCAGAAATTCTGAAATTCTCAACAAAAAATTCTGAAATTTTCGGAAGAGTTAGCCAACATTATCAGAATTATTTGGGGAAAATTTTATGGTTGCAGGTGCTTTATAATTTATTTTATAAAATTTTATTTAAATTACCACGCCTTAAAATGTTCCATTTCCTGAGAAACATTTGTAAAGAATTATGTAAATTTTTAATTTAATTTTTGCATTTTTAAAAATTATTTGAAGCAGAAAATGGATAAAAAATATAAGGAAAATTATAAATATGGAAAATAAAAAAGTTGGAAGGTATTTAATAATTTATGGCCATTAAAAGAGAAAGTGACGATAATAAAAAAATATGTAAAGTTAATGAAGAAAGAGATTAATTGTTCAAAAAGATTATAATTTATTTACAAAAATAATTTTTGTGATAATAAAAAATTAGTTATTAAATATGTAAATGTGAGAGCTAAATATCAGGGGGTGCTGAAACAGATTTTAAAGAGTGAAAGGTGAAACATCAAAAAAGACGAAAATAAGGCTAACAACGGAAGGCGAAACGGCACTGATACATTCAGGGCTGAAGAATTTTGAATTTTAAAAAGCGGAAGGCGGAAGTAGAAAAAAGCGGAATAAATTAAAAAAGCAGCAGAAATCCAACCCTGATACATATGTATAGTTAAAATGTAAATATGTTGAACACACACACACACACACCTTTTTTGCCCCAATATATGTATAAATAAAAACCAAGTTTATTTAAATTGAAAAAAAACTTTTTTTAATTTTCAGAAATAAAAAAATGTGTATAAAATTGGAAACATTTATTAAGAATTAAAAATAAATTCTCTAAAAATATTAATAAGAGGATTTTAAAAGTTTAGAAAAAAAATTTTTTTAATTAAATGAAAACTTATTTTAGAAAAACTTAAGAAGAATTTTCTTCGTAAAAAATTTAAAAATAAAAAAGTGGGTAAAATGTGGGAGAAAAAATATTTTTCTAGTGAGTAAACATTTTTTTATTTTTAAAAGATTTTACAAAATTTTTGCAAAATAAAAATTAAAAAAAAATTTAAAATACAAAAAAGAAGCGGAGAAGGAAGGGAATTCAAGTGAAGTTTAAGTGAAAGTAATGGGTTGTTTTAATAAATTTATAAAAAAAGTATAAGTGAACGTATTCCAATGAAATTTTGCCTAATAATCCTTAATACACTCAAAAACTTATTCTGAAATTTTCAGAATTTTTGATAAAAAATTTCAGAATTTATGGACGAAAAAGGAAGAAAAAAGGGGTATTTTAAACGAAAATTCTGATAAATTCTGATATTTTTGCCTATAAATTCTGATTTAAAAAACCAAAAATTCTGATTTTTATTTAATTATTAGTTAACACTTTAAAATATTTCTGAACGAAATTACACACCTTTAAGTGTTCTTTAGGCTAATTTATAGGCATTCATATATAGCGCGTTACCACGTAAACGAGTGCCACGGAAATGAAAAAATAAAAGAAAATTTTTAAAATAAACTTTAATTTAAATAAATATGTATGTACTTGTTTAAATATAGAGTAATTAAAGAGTAAAATTGTTTAAAAAATAAAAAAAAAATTAAAAAAAATTCTTGTTGAAAAAAAAATTTTCCTTAAATAAAAGGTTACACTTGAAAAGTGCCATTTTCTGAGAAAAACAATTTTTTTAATTTTTTAGAAAAATCTTTTTAATAAAAACAGATTTCTTTAAAAAGACTACATATTTATTAATGAAAAAATTAAAAAAAATTTTTAATTAAAAATAAATAATAAATAGACAAAATATGTTTAAGGTCACGCTATTGCTTAAGCAGTTTTTGAAGGTTTTCTTTAAAAATAAAAAAAATAATTTTAAATTATTTAAAGAATTAAATGTCTAAAATAAGGGGAATTATATATACTATGTATGATTTTAACAATTTAAGAACTTCTTTATTTTAATGAAAAATAATAATTATTGTCTAAAATAGGGGAAATAATGATTCTACCGGATTGAGAAGCCTTTATTTTACTTAAACAAAATAATAATTTTTTTCAGTTCCCTAAACAATTAATTTAAAGTAAAAGACGTCGTTAAAAAAATTATTTTTTTAAGGAAATTAAAAATTACAAAAATAAAGGAGAACTTATTGCATGTCAGGGGCAAAAAAAAGATTAACACGAAGGAGAAAGTGAAAAATAATTAAAATAATCCTTGTATGTTTTTAATTTTGTTTAAATAAAAATAAATATAAATAAATATTTCCTTTTTGCGTCATTTTTTGTCATTATCTTCCTCCTTTTTTTATTTTTTATAAAAAAAGATGAGACACCAACAGATAATATTCATCATTTATTTATTAGTTAATAATCATTGTTCGTCTTTTAAACGAAAAAAAAGAAGAAATAATAAAGAGAAGAGGAGGCAACGATTTAAAGAACAATTGAATGAATGAAGAAAAAAAACGGGAATGTTTAAGAGAGAATAATGATTCTTCTTTTTTTTTTATTTTTTAGAAAAAAAATTTAAGAGAACTCAAGTACTTGTATAATATATACTTTTAAAAAAAAGTGGAAGAAAAATAAAATAAAATAAAAATTATATAGGTATTTGTTGGAGGAAAGTTGGAGGAAAGTGTGTGTGTCTAGTTGAGAATAAAGAGTTTAAAGATTTTTAGAAAATTAAAAGATTAAGGATGATTATTTTAAGAATTTAGGTGTACATATACTTTTAATTAAAAGGATCTCTAAAAACGAGAATTAGGGAATTTATAATTAAACACTACAATGGCATTCAATACCAGCTAGTCGTTGTTCAAAGGAATTTTAATTTTTTAAAATATTTTTAATATTTGTATTTAAATGTAAGTGACGTTTTTACAAGGTTCTTTTCGGTGAATAAATTTAAAAAAGGAAAGATTGTGTTTAACTTTTGTAGTTCTTTCCTTGTGAGCATTAGCTGGAAATGATAAATATAGAAAAAAAGAATTTTAGATTTTAAATTGGGAATATCTCAAAAAATTTGTTTTTTAAAATTAATTTTTGATTAATTTTAAATTAAATTACTTAAACAATAAAAATTAAAGAAAGGTGTGGTGGTTATTTAAAAATAGTAAGTAAAATAAAATAAAGAAATGACAAAGTAAATAAAAAATTTAATTAATTAATTATTTAAACAATAAAAAGAAAGAAAAATTAAATTAAAGTCAAACAAATAATAAAAATTAACTAAATTTATTTATATATTTATTTGGGGTATTTACCGAACAGACAATTCACCGCTAAAGGAAAGTAAATTATTTTAGTCTAATATATAATTAGAAAATATTTTTTAATTTGATTTTCAATCTCTAAGCAAAAAAGTCTTTCTTATTCTAAACATTCAAAAATATTTGATTGTATCGTTAAATAACCTAAAAATCCCAAATTCGGTGAATTTTCTATTCGGTAAATTGTCTCCATTAAATATTCCTCTTAAAATAAATTTAAATTTACCTTTTCTTTTTAATTTTTTGTCGAATCATTTTTGCGCGTTAAAATAAATAGAGAATAGGTAGGTAAGTATTTGACGAATGATTTGAAAATTTTAGAAAAGGAAAAGTAAAAATGTTTAAAATTGAACGGAGAATGGACGTAAAAAGAGGGGGAAAGAGAGGGAAAGGGGGAAGGGAAGGGGAAAATTAATTTAGAAAAAAATTAATTTGGTAAAGGAAGAAAGAAAGGATTTTTTAGACAATTGTTTAATGAAAAGGAAATTAACAGGAAAAGAAGTCTAAATAAAATAAAAATATAAATTTATTGTATACATATATTTAATTAAATAATAAATCTCTTTAAAAATGAGGAAGTAAAAAAATAAATTACTAAATAAATGAATATTTATGGTCAGACGTTGATTGTATAAATAAACTTTTGGGGAACGAAAAAACAAGAACTCAGGTATATGTAAAATTGAAGGCATTTCTTAGACAGCCCTCCGCTCAACTAACCTTTAAAAATTGTACACACAATTAGAGAGTGTACGTAAAATTGAGGGTACAGTCTAGAGATCGAATAGAGACAAGATATTCTCGTACGACACTCCCAGTCCGGTCTCTAATAAGTCTGTTCCAAAATTATAAACGTGCCCGTATTTTTCTCAATATTTCATGTCATATTCAATTCTGATAAATTTTTAAAATAATTATAGAGAGGGATAAATAATATTTAATACTGGAATTAATTTTTTAATTAATAGACGTTGAATTATATAATTTTTAAAATAAAGATGTAGATTAGCAATGAAGTAAAAAAATATTTGGAATTAGAAAACGAAATTTGGAAAATTAAAAATCATTTAATTAGTTAATTAAATATACCTAATTATTTATTTTCATCTTTCCTAACAAATTTCTTAATTAAATTAAGCAATATTTTAAGAGAAAGATTTGTTAATATTTTTAAATAAAAATGTCAAATGCTACTCTGAAAAAAAGCAATTTTTAGATCATAAATAATAAATATATATATTTTTTCTAGTTTGATCCAAACACACACAAAATAACCACTCACTTTTCCTCAACTATTTTTAAATTGTCAATCAAAAAAAATTTTTTTTTTCAAAGAAAGAAATGTCCAAAATTAGTTAAAAATAATTTTTTTAATTTAATAAAAATAGAAATTATTTTTGATAATTGGGAATTTAGAAAATTAAAAGAGAAAATTATTTTTTAATTGAGGTATTTTGAATTGAGCTAATTTTTGATGGAATTAAAAGAATTTTTTAGTGGGAGAAAGAAATAAATAATTAAATAATTAAAAACAATTTTTAGCGTGATTGAGAAAAGAAAAATTTTGGTTATCGAAATATCAATCCTTATTCTCGTTCACCCCTTCAAGCCATGGATCCTGCTGACTAAAAAAACAAAATTCCCTATTTTCGGGAATCGGGACGGCAATTATGTGAAATGACATTTTGTAAGAAAAGTAAGAAAAAGGGAAAAGAGACGGGGCTGGGGGAAACTACACAAGTACCGGTTCCGAGAAGGTCGCAACGAGTTCGAGTTTCGGCACATCTGTGGTTCGTGGATATCGGAATTTTAATAATCGGGAATTTTCGAGAATCTGATCACTGGATAGAATCCATGTTTTTAAAAAAAGCGTTTTTTAATCTTTTAAAAATTTTTTCCAAAATATTTTTTAAAAAACAAAAAAATAGAAAAATATTTTTATTTATTTTTTATTGCACTTTTCAAAAGCAAAAAAATTCTTTTTAAAAATATATATTTATCTTTTCATTTTTGAAAAAAATTTTTTTGAAAAAAAATAAAACCAAAAAAAACAGATGTTTTATCTTTCTTCCAGCCAACCTTTGTTCACATTTATAAAAATGAAAAATGAGAAGAAAAATATATAAAAAAACAAAAGTTGGAATAAATATTTAAATAGAAGAAAATAAAGTTTTTAAAAAAGGTTTAAAAATAAACCTATGTAAAAATTTATTTAAATAAAAATAAAAAAAAGATGAATGACAGAATTAAAAAAAAATATTTTTATTTAAACGCCCACTAAATATTTAAAAATAATTATTACAACAAATAAATTAATAATAAATTAATAAAAAATAATTATTTTGATGTAATAAAAAGAGAAAAAAATAACTACATATTGGACTACAGTTTTGCCAATTTTCTGACCCTAAAAACGAGACTACTCCCCTTATTTCGAGAACAGGCATTTCCGCACCTAGAGAGTTCCGCCCCTAGACTATTCGCCCCTAGACTATTCGGACTCAGCTCATCGGGACGATTCAACTGACATATCATTCGAAACCTTTAGTCGCAGCCCTCGATTAAACTACATATGTTCATTATTTGGAAACTTACGTGAGGATTACTTAAAGGAGGACACACAACGACATTCGTGTCTTATATGTATAAGAATGCACGTTCAAAACGCATGACAGTTAACAAAAATATTTGTGGGAAAATCTTAGAAAAGAAGGTTGTAAATTTCGAGAGATTTCAAAAAATTGAAGGTTCATTGAAAGGCACCAATTGAACAAATTCAAACCAATTTATTCAAAATATTTGAAGGAAAAGTTCAAACAAAAACCCTAATCTTTTTTTCTTACTTACTAGCTAAAACAAAAATTCAAACAAAAACAAATTCAGCTAAACAATTTTATTTACAACAAATACATACATAACAATACAATATTATTGGTACATTATATAGGGAAGAAATATCACAATTTACGATTATATATTTTGGGTGGTCCTATATCATCCTTCTTTTCTGTGTTCATCTATATTTATCCATCGTCCCGCAACCATACTCTCATGCAGCAGCCATAGGAACGTCGACCTTGAACTCGCCAGAAGATCCAGGAGGGAAGATGGCCTTGGCGTCCCCAGCATCTGGAGGAGCCCCAGCGAAGCAGATCTCGAGCTTGTCATCACCTTTTGGCGGGCCGTTCTGGCGGATCACTTCGACTTGGGCAGCGGCGCCGGGCTCCACGAATCCGAAGACGGGGTTGACTCGGTAGTGCTCGTTATTGCTGGACTTGAGCTTGAAGGCGAAGCGGACCTGAAAAAATATAAAAAATTTGATTAGAGGAATGATTTGAGAGTGAGAAAAGAAAGATGAGAAAAAAATAAATACTACCTCAGGGTTGCCGTTCATCAGCTGAAGCGAGACGTTGCCTCCCGAAGCAGGGACCTGGATAGCAGCTGGCTCGACTTGGACCGCCATTGTTGTTGTTGTGAAGATTGGTTGTTGATTGTTTGAAGAGTTGTCGTTGTAGAGTGTTGCGTTTGAACGAAATCAGTGGACTTTTATAGTTGGCTGGGTGTGTGTGATTTCTTCACAGAAATCATGATATAAAAGCTTTGTCATCATCATCGATCACCAACTCTCAACAACGACAACTCTTCAAACAATCAACAACCAATCTTCACAACAACAACAATGGCGGTCCAAGTCGAGCCAGCTGCTATCCAGGTCCCTGCTTCGGGAGGCAACGTCTCGCTTCAGCTGATGAACGGCAACCCTGAGGTAGTATTTATTTTTTTCTCATCTTTCTTTTCTCTTTCTCAAATCATTCCTATAATCAAAATCGTTCTTTTTTCTTTTTCAAAGGTCCGCTTCGCCTTCAAGCTCAAGTCCAGCAATAACGAGCACTACCGAGTCAACCCCGTCTTCGGATTCGTGGAGCCCGGCGCCGCTGCCCAAGTCGAAGTGATCCGCCAGAACGGCCCGCCAAAAGGTGATGACAAGCTCGAGATCTGCTTCGCTGGGGCTCCTCCAGATGCTGGGGACGCCAAGGCCATCTTCCCTCCTGGATCTTCTGGCGAGTTCAAGGTCGACGTTCCTATGGCTGCTGCATGAGTATGGCTGCGGGACGATGGATATAGATGAACACACAGAAAAGAAGGATGATATAGGACCACCCAAAATATATAATCATGAATTGTGTATATTTCTTCCCTATATAATGTACCAATAATATTGTATTGTTATGTATTTGTTGTAAATAAAATTGTTTTTCTGAATTTGGTTTTTTTGTTTGGGAATGAGATAAATTAAGAATTGAGCATTCCTAGGTGTTTTTGTGAACAGAATGCTTTCATTTTTTTGAGAACTCCCTCCCACACTTTCCTCTTTCCCTTTTAGTTCCTTTCAAAGGAATTTCTCCGGATCGATTAGAGAGACTAATTGAATTGATCAGAAACAATTGTTCTCCCCCCAAAAACTTTTCATTTTACAAACTTCTCAGATTAAAATTAAAGATTAAAATTTCCCATCAATTTTTGTTTTAAAAAAAAATTGAAAATATGAGAGATTGAAGGACAAAAATATTTTCTCTCTTTTATTGTTGTTGTTGAAGGTTTTCTTCCAATTATTTTTTATTTTCCCCTTTTTTCTTCTACAATAATTAGTATTTTTCCAAATTTATCCTCTTCTCCCTCCTAAATTTCAAAATCCAAATAATAAATAATCCTCCAAAATCCGCATAAAAACACGAGATTGACAAAAATAGGCAATTAAAATTTCAATTTTATTGATGTGTTTATTTAACAAGACTTGTCGAATCCTTTCTATATTTTATTTTAAACAAAATTTCTAACTATATATTTATTAAACTAAAAATTTTTTTACTAAAAATTTTTAAAATTCCTTTCCAAATTAGTTTAAATCTTTTAGTTGTCCTCAGGTTTAATTACCCAAGTCCAGGTTAATTATCCTATTGCCCTAAATTTATAATCGTTTTACAAATGTTCATCAGAACAGATCAGAGCATCTAGTCAAAAACTTTATATCCATCCCACTTCCACAAAATTGCCTATTTTTTCTTTTTACTTGTCGCTTACAAAAAGTATTTTGGATTCTATAAAAAAATTAGACTATGTTTATAGGTACAGAAATTTTTAAAATTCTTTTCCCTGTCATGGCATTTGAATTACAAAAAGTTTCCTTATTAGAATGTGGAGAAATAAAAAAAAATAATTTCTACATATTTTAAACATTTTTAAGAAAAAATGTCATCACCATCATCAACGTTTTCAATTTTCTTTTTATTAATTCTTTTAAATTTATCGTTTATATCTGCTGAAAGATGTGATATTATAGTTCATGTTAAATCAATGACTGACACCCCATTTAATGCTAAAGTAATTGCTCCGAGTGGGCAGTCTAGTGAAATGTTTGGAATTTTTTTTTGATTAAAAAATAAAAAATTTTTTGAAAAGGTGGAAGTTTACAAAAAATCGTCAAAAAGAAACTTTCCATCCTGTTGTGAATGGAACGGGGGATTGCAGTAAAGGTCAGTGGGAAATACAAACATTTGACAAAAATGGAGGGTCTAAGGCAACGGAAAAGGTAAAAAAGTCTGAGAAAAATTTCCAAAAAAATCCTTTTAGGTGTCATTAAGCGGAACAGGCCGTGTTCTCTACGAAGTAAAAGACAATCTTTTACCAATACAAAGTGAACGTCAAGGTGCTGTTTGTGATGAGGGAAAATGTGCAGCTCTAGGACATCTTCCAAACACCCCAAAACCGAAGAATAATTCTTCCAATTAAAAATAATTTTTTTAATTTTGAAAATTATTTTATTTAATCTTCCCTTTTTGAAAGATAATTCGTTAATAAAATTTCCAAAATTATTTAATAAAAAATTTTAATTTCTTCTCATCCATTATAAAATCACTCTTTTCTCCTATTTTTAAAAAAATTTCAAAAAACTTCCTTTACATTTTTTAATAAAAATATTTTCAATGTAATAATAATAGTATAAGTAAAAATAAGCAGAGATTTTCTAAATTAACACAAAAAATTTTCAAAATTAATTTTAAAAAATCTTGCCATTTTTCAAAAAAACCAATCAATCACGCCTTCATAAACAAAAAAAATACAATTTTAATATTTTTTAAATACGGGGTGGGGCTTGGGTCGATCACAAAAAAGGAAAACAATCTTTATAGTTAGTCTATATATCATATAAAATCATCCACTTTTCTTTCCTCCAAATGAATTCTTTCCCTATAACTAAAAATGGTATTTAAAAAATTTTTCCTTAATATTTTTGAGAATATTTTACCCTTGAGAACAAAAAGCGAAAGTTATTTAAAGCTAAGATGTATGTAAATGGAGGTATTGCTTCGGAAGCTTTCTATAAAGTCAAACGATTTTCGATATCTGAAATTACCCCCCGCTGGCTTAAAATCGACTTAAAAATTGTATACACAATAGAAAATAAATTGGGTTATGCAAAATCGAGATCCTGTTATATTCTGTATGACCCAAATTCTATAATTCGTATAAACTCAAAACGGTTTTTTCGAAAAAGATTTAAAATTACACACACTCATATTGAGTAATCAATTAAATTATATCTAGGAAAGCTAAAACAGAATCTGAGAAAATTTTAAAAAAAATCTAAGTTTCTGCCAGATCATTAAAAATACTATTCTCTATGACTAGTCTGTTTATTAAGAAATAAAAATTTCCCCACCAAAAATTCTTTTATCAAATCTTTCTGCGCGGGCGTTTTCTAACAGGTACACGAGAATCCTCCTCAGCTTGTGCTTGTTGCGTTGGTTGGGGATTTGAGGAAGAGCTGCTAGTACTTGCATTGTTTTCGACATTGTTGGCGTTGGTAGTTGAAGATGAAGTTGTAGGAGTTGAAAGAGCTGATGATGATGTTGGACAGACAATTGATTGAGAAGGCTGTGAAGCATAAATTACCGAGGAAGAAGCTTCAAAAAAATTTTTTTTTATTTTTTAAAAAAATTTAGAAAACCTGCTGTAGAATTAGACACTGACGGTAATGACGATGAAGTAGAAGTTCCACCACTCGTATTCAATGAAAATGAGGCTAAAGCAGAAGTAGAATTATTGCGAGATATATTGCTGCTAGGCGAGAAGACACCAACGCCGTAAAGATTTGCTGGGGCTGTAAAAGAAGTATTATAGTGGACTGTTTTGATTTTTGGGTATGGATTTGGGAAAAACCGAGGGATAATGAAAGTGGGGCTTAAAGATTAAAAAAATTTTTTAAAAAATCTTCCAAAATTAGGTATATGTATTAAATGAAAAGTTAAACAAAAGATAAAAAAGCAATTCATCGAAAAAATGGATGGAATAGCAGGAAGGAAAAATATTCAGTCCTAAAATGACTAATTGTAAATGAGCCTCTAAAAAATTATTAAGGAAAAAAGAAAGAGAAAGCAATGAGTATTTCCCTTTTAAGGTTTCAAAAAAAATTTTCAAAAACCTACTACTCATACTTAAACTGCTACCACTACTTCCTCCACCTCCACTTCCACCAGTACTACCAGCAACTCCTCCACCAGTACTTGGTTCTGTAGTCCCCCCAGTTTCAAAACTGCTACTCAAATCAATCCCTTCACTCCCATTTTGATCTAGCACAGCTTCTAACAATTCATTTGCAAGTTGTCCTCTAACAGCTTTTAATTCTTTCCATTCAGGACTTCTCAAAAATGTTTTGTGATTTGAAGAAATGTATTTAATACAGGCCTGGGAATTTATTTATTTTTTAATTTATAAGTTGAAATAAACCTTTTTTAAATATGATCCGAAATATGTATCAGCAATTAGGCAGAGATTAGCAATATTTTTAGCACCTAGAAAATGAAAAAATTTTTAAATTAGGGTTCAATTTAATTCTAGAATTATGGGAATGGAAAATGCCTAAAACAATAAAACTCCGCTACCTTTCAGACTCGTTAAATCCTCAATGTACATGCCCAAAGAAATAGAATTGAAATAGAATTGCCTCGAGAAATAGTTCACAGAAAATTCTTTATACTTGGTGGCAGGTTCTAGGAAAATTTAGAGATATCCGGTTTCAACCCAAAAATTTTCGATATCCTAAAATTCCCGGATCCAGATCAGCCTACACTCCTCTATGTCCCAATTACTAAAAATATTTAAGCAATTAAGTTTTTACAAATAATCGAAGTCATATAACGTTCACATTGTTCCTTCAACGGCATTACAGCATATTTATCAGCTATAGCGAGAATACCTTCTGCAAAATTTTCCAAAGCACCTAAATTAATTCGAATAAATTCCCTATTAGTTATATGCAAACTTTTGTCCACTGAACCCGTGTAAATAAATTGAAGCATGGCACGAACATATTCAGGACGAGAATCTGTTATGCTGATTTGCCCCTAATAAATGAATATTTAAAGAAATGGAAATTAAAAATCAAACATTTTGAGCCTCTAACATCGACTTTTGCGCAAACATTGAACGGAAAACAACGCTGTGCTGTGCAAGAATACATCTGTGAGCATTCATTCGTGCACTTCCAACCTAATAAAATTAGTTGGCAATTTTTCAAAATAGACGGATCCAATAAGCTGTATATATATCAAGGGCGTAGCCAGGGCCCGTAGAATAAATTCGGGGTAAGGGTTATTTATCCCCGACCCGAGGGTCAAATAACTCGCAACCTGCAGCATAAATTGCTACTTTGAGTTCAGGGTTAAACAACCCGGTAGTTTAACCCAAAACCCCGAGTAGCTTTTCACATTGGTAGAATAAATTATTTACTTGGGTCAAATAACCCTCAGCTAAGGGTAAAATTGCTACACTGGTCGGGGGCAGTGTAACAGGGTAAAACGCGTCTCGATTGCTCTTTTCCAAAATATATTAAGTTTTCAAAATTTTGAAAAAAAATTTTATAATCAAAAAATGAAAAAATATTTATGAAAAAATTTTTTTTTAAATCCAGGTTTGGATCCGGGTCTAAAAAATCCGGATTTTGATCCGTAAAGTCCAGTCCGGATGAGAAAAAAATAAAAATCCGGTTACCGGATCCGGCATTTTCAAACTTCTAACCCTAATGATTTTACTTAAAAGTTAAAGCAGTTTAATGTAAGTTCAATATAGAAATAAAATTAAAGAGTTAGGTACTAGCGAGTTACAGTAACCTCTAGTTTGGAGTGAAAATGAGAATTTATTCTACGGAATTTATTCTACCAATTTTACTCGGAACTCAGAGTTATTTAACCCAAGGTTATTTTACCCGTTTATTCAACCGGTTATGTTACCCCGAATTTATTCTACGGGCCCAGGAGGTAGATTTCAGGGGTGGGAGGGGGGCTAAAATGGGGTGTGCCAAAATTTTGGCGTTTTTTTAGAATTTTAGAAGGCCGTAGCCCTTTTAAAATATTTTCACTTTCCCAATTTCAGAGGGAGGGGGGCTATAGCCCCAGAAGCCCACCTGGCTATGCCCTTGATATGTATTATCCAGAAAATACGGGCCATGTCAACGGAACGCTTAAACCCCTCACTCCTCTAAAACCCAGAACCACAGCTAGACTACAATGAAGTCCACACAAAAAATACCTGAATAATACAATCCGTAAAGGTCTCTTGCTGCCACATTTCTCTCAACGATTCCTGCACCCAAACAGAAGAATCCATATTTGTTTCTTCCACAATTTCATCATCTTCTTTTTCCACATTTAATTTTATGCCAGGAGGAAGGAATTCAACTTCGCAAAATAACAATAAAGAACCTAAAATATATTTTTTAAAGGCCAAAAATTTAATATACCATCTGGACGCAGAGCTGTCAACATTTTGTCTCGTTGTACTTGAAATTTCCCACGGCCTTGTTGATTTGAAAAATCCTTTGTATCTCTAAAACGATCCAAAAAAAAACTTTTCTTCTCAATTGATTTCAAAATAACCTGCAAACACTAATACGACAATCACTAGCATCCAAAGCATAAATTTGAAATTCGGTCATTACAGGATCCTCCCCACGTTGAAGGCCCACTTGGCGAAGAAAAAAAGAAACATCTAAAAATATAAGGTTAACTAAAGAATAAATTTAAAAAATTACTATTAACATCCTCCTCTCTCTTTCCATTTGGATAAACATGTAATTCCCAAATTACAGATGGGCAAGTTGAACAAGCAAATTGTTTGCCTGAAAAGAAGAGTATATAATAATGATTCGTGTCTGGTGATTTCGCCAGTATGCGATTTAGGGAGTGAGAAATATGGGCAGTGAGTGATTTGGGCAATAAATAATTTACGTGATTTCAGTATTAACCTATCATATTTATCAACCACAGTGGTTCTATTTTTCTAATTGTAACCAAGAAGGATTTATATTCTTCTCCCCTTAAAATCCTCCTAATCTTTCTTAATGTCCAAATCATTCACAATTATTTTTCCTTTGCTCAATGAGAAGAAAATTTAACCAAAAGACGCTGAGCGTGGATTAATAAAAATTGGAAGTTAAATCCAGGCCCGTAGCCAGGAAATTCATCAGTGATTCCCTCTCCCAACCCTTAAAAATCTAGTTAAAGGACAGCTTATTGTTAGATAGCATATAAACAAGTCATTCTATACTTAAACTCACTTATCAGATTTTGCCCATTCTTCATCAACTTCATTAACTTTTCAAAATGATCAATTCTCCATTCCAGACGAGAGGAGACAGCAGCGACCTAAAATTGATATTCAAAATTTAAATTCATCAAAAATTTAAAACCCTTGTAGTCTGCTTAGAAACCATAATTTCAAGACGTCTAGAAGTTCGATTTAAAGAATTAGGTGTTGATTCAATAATTCGCATAAATCTGACTGGTGGATAACGCAAATTTCCACTTTGCATGTTACGAAAATAATCTAAAAAGAGTTTAAAGAAATTACAACTTGCAACAAAACTTAAAGAAAACTTCAAAGATTTGGAAAACATGAGGGAAATCTAAAAGAAAAATCATTTTTAATTTTTGGTATTTCGTATTATTCACTTTAAAAATTAATTTTTTCTTTTTTTCTTTTTCTCTTAATTTTCTGCAGTCTTTTTATTTTTCATCATTTTTAAAAAAATTTTTGTGAAATTTTCCTTGAATTTCTTTTTATTTTGCAAAATTTTCTTGATAGGCTTCTTGATAAATTTTCGTGTAGGGCTAACTCAAGGAACGGATAAGACACAAGGAACGACAAGTCAAGGAAAAGACAAATCAAGGAAACTCATGGATCGTTCCTTGACCTGTCTGTTCCTTGAGTTGTATGCCCTTGAGTTGATCGTTCCTTGATTTGTCTTTTCCTTGACTTGTCGTTCCTTGACTTGTCTGTTCCATGATTTGGAATTCCTTGAGTTGTCCCTCACCCATAAATTTTTTCTTTGTTAATTTGTATTTTAGAGACACCATTTATTAAATAAAATATCTCATATTTTCAATGGGAAATCAACAGTTTCAGCAACAAAAGCCAGGTTCAGGAGATAAGCAAGGGGAGGGAGACAAGGTTTCTTTTAAATACTTTTATTTTTCACCTTTTTTTAAAGAAGCGCCGTTTTGGGCCTCCAATCCCTACACGCTTTGGGAAGCGAAAGAAGGGAAGTAAAGGACCTGAAGCTAGCAATAAAATGCCAAATGTGACACCAGTAACTCGTTGCAAATTGCGTCTTCTTAAATATGAACGGATTAAAGATTATTTGTTAATGGAAGAAGAATTTATTCGAAATCAGGAAAGACATAAACCTCAAGAAGAAAGGCAGGAAGAAGAACGGACAAAAGTAGATGAAATGAGAGGGTCACCAATGGCTGTGGGTACTTTGGAGGAGATTATTGACGATCAACACGCTGTTGTTTCGACGGTTTGATTTTTTAGTTATTGGAGAAAATAAGTTAATTCCAAGCTCCGTGCCCTCCACACTCTTCCTTCTTTTTTCCTTAATAATATACTTAATGGTCAGTTTTTTCCCAGAAAGGAAAAGAGAAGGAAAGGTGGGGAGGAGGAGAGGGGGGGGGCACAGCAGATCAGCCGGTTATTTCTAGCCGTTTCAGTACATACTGAATTTTTCTCTTCATCTTTTCACTCTATTTTTTTCGCGTGCTATTTTTTAGGGATATGGTAATTTTTGATGTGCCAACTTTGAGAAGCTTTATCTCGAAAAATCGTTAAAGATTTAAAAATCTGCCCACCAATATCATAGATAATACCCTAAAGATTCTTTTAAAAAAATAAATTTAAAAATTTTCCGATTTTGTAAAAACATTTTCCTTTGTTGTATGATTTTTCTTTTTTGTATTACTTTAGCCAGTAGACGGTACCAAAGTCTTTTGATTTATATATCATTCGATTCGGCTCGTCGAGCCGAGTCGAATGGTACCAATCTTTAGTCTCAGAAATAAATCTGGACCGAGATATATGCCTTTCTCTTTCTTTCGCTTCAAAACGTCTAAGACTCTAGCTAAGACTCTAAAGGGGTAGTAACAGCCTTTGCCTATTTTGATCTGCTGTGGGGGGGGTCACGAAGCTTGGAATTACCGAAAATAGAACTAGACTTCTAAGGTTTTTCCAACTTTTAGAACGTTGGCAGCGAACATTATGTTAACATTCTTTCATTTGTGGACAAGGAGCAATTGGAGGTATTTTTTAAATTTAATTTTGTAAATTTCCTTTTATTTTTTAGCCAGGCTGTGCAGTTCTTCTAAATCACAAAACACACGCAGTTGTTGGTGTTTTGGCTGATGACACGGATCCTATGGTTTCTGTAATGAAATTGGAAAAGGCTCCGACTGAAACATACGCCGATGTTGGCGGTTTGGAGCAACAAATTCAAGAAATTAAAGAGGCAGTGGAATTGCCACTTACACATCCAGAGTAATTTTTTAATTATATTTTGACCTTAAATTCTAATCTACAGGTACTACGAAGAAATTGGAATCAAACCTCCAAAAGGAGTTATTCTCTACGGCCCGCCTGGCACAGGCAAAACATTGCTAGCTAAAGCTGTTGCTAATCAAACGTCTGCCACCTTTTTGCGTGTTGTTGGCTCTGAGCTTATTCAAAAATATTTGGGAGATGGGCCTAAAATGGTTAGGGAGTTGTTTCGGGTTGCGGAAGAACATGCACCGGTAAATTTTAAGAAATTTGATTAAATTCAAGTTTTTCGTCAAAATTTTTTATTGTTAACCAAAAAAATTTTCTAGTCAATTGTTTTCATCGACGAAATTGATGCCATTGGCACAAAACGTTATGAATCCAATTCTGGCGGAGAACGCGAAATTCAACGTACTATGCTTGAATTGCTCAATCAGCTGGATGGTTTTGATTCTCGTGGAGATGTTAAGGTAAATGGAAGACTAAAAAATTTCTTTAAAGATTATTTATTTTTCTGGTTTTAATGGCCACAAATCGAATTGATTCATTAGATCCAGCACTTATTCGTCCTGGCCGTATTGATAGAAAAATTGAATTTCCACTTCCCGATGAGAAAACTAAAAGACGTATTTTTGGCATTCACACAGCCCGTATGCAATTGGAAAATGTTAATTTGGAGGAATTTATTGAGGCAAAGGATGACCTTTCGGGAGCTGATGTTAAAGCAGTTTGTACCGAGGCGGGGCTTTTGGCACTTCGGGATCGTCGAATGCGTGTTACTATGGTGAGGGATTTTTTAATTTCCTGACACTAATGAATCCCTTTATGGTTATGAACAGGGAAAATCGGCGACTGGATTGACTCCCACTGAATTTTTGAATTAGCACTTTTTTACATTTAGTTTTCAATTGAGTTCGGATTGAGTTCCTAGGAAATCATTTAAGATAAATGTTGAATCTTTTGTGAAAATTCAAAAAAAGATTTTTATTTAATTAAAAATTAAATTTATTTTAAAGGAGGACATGAGAAAAGCTAAAGAGAATGTACTCTATAGAAAGAAGGATGGGGCACCAGAGTCGATGTATCTTTAATTTGATGTTTCTTGTATTATTTGTTTATGGAGTGGTTGAATAAAATATATTTTCTTTGAATTTTTTAAATTTTTTTAAAAATTGTTCTTATGCAATTAATATTTTCTAAATTTTTGTTAATTTTTATTTCTTAATTTTTAGAAAAAAATGTTTTACCATTTATCGTTAGAACATGAAATTCAGCTCCACCCAAAATATTTTGGTCAAAGTTTAATGGAAACTGTCAAGCAAAAATTATTTAGTGAAGTAGAAGGAACTTGTACAGGCAAATATGGATTTGTTATTGCTGTTACTACAATTGATACAATTGGGCATGGAATGATTCAACCAGGTTAAATTAAAAAGAATTTTAAAGTTTGGCGTGCATAGCGGGAGTCCTTCCGTACTGATCATTGTTTGAAAATCTAGAATCTGTTGGGTTTGTACTCTTATTTTTGTACACATGCACGATTCTGAATTTTGATGCGAGTTCCAAACACTTGTCATTCCTGAAAATTTGGATTACTGGTAACAGAGTCCCAAGTCTTATATCCTCTTTGGGGTTATCTCTGAATTTTATATTTTGTGGGTTTTCTTTTCTTATCAAAAGAGTTCGATATTCTGTCTCCCAATTCTATTCAGAAAATGATTGCCGAATTTTAAATAATTTTTATTTTTAAAGGAAGAGGCTTTGTCACATTTCCAGTCAAATACAAAGCTATTGTTTTTCGTCCATTTAAAGGTCAAGTGATGGATGCTGTTGTTAATCAAGTTAATAAAGTAAGAATAAATTTATTTTTAATTTAAAATTAAAAGGGAAACTTATTCTTACAATTAGTAATTGAAAATGTTAAAATTTGGAGAAATTAAAGAATACTTTTTAAAACATTTTTTATTTTTAATCGCTTTTACTAGGATTGGATACAACTGGTACCCTTCTCTCCCCCCAGTTTCCAGTTAATCCAGATTCAATAAATATGTTTAACGGTTTTTGGCTGATTTTCAATGGAAGTTTCTTTTAATTTTCATAAAGATGGTTAATTTGGGGCAAGAAATATCAAACTTATAGTTTTTATAATCGGTCTATCCAATCCTTTTTTATTACCTTTAGAAGTAATACTTTTTAAAATCCTAACATATTTTTTTTACAAATTTTTTTAAAAGGTTGGCATTTTCTGCGACATTGGCCCTCTAAGTTGTTTCATTTCTCGTCATTGTATACCTCCTGATATGGATTTTGAGCCAAACAACATTCCACCATGTTATAAAAATCAAGAAGAAACAATTGTTATTAAACAGGATGATGAGGTTTTTTTTAATTTTTAAATCAAAAAAAATTTATTTTTAAAGATTCGATTAAAAATTATTGGAATAAGAGTTGATGCTACAGACATTTTTGCCATTGGAACTTTGATGGATGATTATTTGGGGTTGTCTTCTGCTGACTAGAAAAAAGAAAGAAAAGGCTAGTATTTTTGTTTTGATCTCTTTAAATATTTTTTTAAATTTAATAAGAGATATTCCAAGAGAACCTGATATTTAGTAAAAAAAGGGAAGTATCTTTGAGATATCCTAATAAAGAATATAGAGGACCTTGAGATGACAAAGTAATTGATTTGAGGGTAGAAAGAAAATTAGGTTGATTTAATTAAATAATATTATATTCGGCTAGGTATTTTTTCTTCTACAAATATATGGGGGAGGGGGGAGGGAGGGGACCTTACTTTCTCTTTACATTTTTAGTTTCTTTTACTTTGTGTTATTCTTCACGTTTTTTAATTGAATTCTTCAATTTTGGCAAAATTTGATGGATCAATAAACGTAATTTTTCATCTATAAAAATATGGACAACAATATTTGGACCAAAATCCTTGGGGTTTTATTCGAAAAAACCAAATATTGTCCAGAAAGTATCTAAAAGAAAAATAAATTAAAAATTATCAGAAACTAAAAAAACTAACTTTAGTAATCGCTTCCTGATCATTTATGTCATCGTATGGCTGTTTAACCTCAAAAATTTCAAAACATAGTACTCCAAAACTCCACACATCCGTTTTTTGAAAGAATTTTTTTGTGGATTGTTTCTGGAGCTAGATATTTAAATGCAAGTCTTTCTCCTTTTATTGTATTAATAAACTCTTGCCCATCTGGCAACATTCGAGAGGTTCCAAAGTCGAATATTTTAATTTCTGGCTGCCAAATCACAATGAAGTATGTTATTTTCTTGTAAATAGGTAATTTAGGCCATTAGTGGCATCGAGAATAAATTTAATGGCTTAAATGGCTTCTTGTAAATAGGTAATTTAGGCCATTAGTGGCATCGAGAATAAATTTAATGGCTTAAATGGCTAAATTACCTATTTACAAGAAAATAACATACTTCATTGTGATTTGGCAGCCAGAAATTAAAATATTCGACTTTGGAACCTCTCGAATGTTGCCAGATGGGCAAGAGTTTATTAATACAATAAAAGGAGAAAGACTTGCATTTAAATATCTAGCTCCAGAAACAATCCACAAAAAAATTCTTTCAAAAAACGGATGTGTGGAGTTTTGGAGTACTATGTTTTGAAATTTTTGAGGTTAAACAGCCATACGATGACATAAATGATCAGGAAGCGATTACTAAAGTTAGTTTTTTTAGTTTCTGATAATTTTTAATTTATTTTTCTTTTAGATACTTACTGGACAATATTTGGTTTTTTCGAATAAAACCCCAAAGGATTTAGGTCCAAATATTGTTGTCCATATTTTTATAGATGAAAAATTACGTTTATTGATCCATCAAATTTTGCCAAAATTGAAGAATTCAATTAAAAAACGTGAAGAATAACACAAAGTAAAAGAAACTAAAAATGTGAAGAGGAAGTAAGGTATTATATTCCATATATTTGTTGAAGAAAAAATATCTAGCAGAATATTATATTATTTATTTAAATCGACACAATTTTATTTCTGTCCTCAAATCAATTTGTCATCTTAATGTTCTTAATATTTTTTCATTAAGATCTCTCAAGGATACAAATCTTTTTATTAAACATCTCTTTCTCTTGGATATCTCTTTTATTAAACAATTTCTCTCTTAAAAAATTATTTTTAAAATACAAAATATTTACAAATAAACAATTTTCTTGAAAGTTTTTTAAACAATTTTCTTTAAAATTTCGTCTTCCTCTCTATAAAATAGAGATGGATAGAATACAGGTAGTTGATCAATTTTCGTTTTGATCAATTTTCAAATTCCAAAATTATAACAATCCCTCAAATTAATGAAAATTGTGAACAAGAACAGAGAAGATACACATTAAATACAGGACCGGAACGAGAATCTCGTTTAGAAATATCGATACTTTTTTTGAGACATCGATATAGAGACATCGATTTTGTCATCACAAGGAAACATGGTCTACTGTCAAAGAATTTTTTTATTTTTCTGGTACCATTCAATAGAGGACCATCGACTCCCGATTGCTTATTCTTTATTGACACAATTATAATTGTTCACTAATTTTAACTAAATTGAGCAAATCAGGATAAGAAATAATAAGATCATATGCCTAGGAATAAATTAAACTAGAGAGATTCTTCCAGATTTTTTTTTGCAAAAATGGAGGACGAAGAGGGCAATGTAAAAATGGGAGAAAACGAGGCGAAAAAGTCAAAAAGTGGCAATTGGTCCCTAAAGGTTGTAAAATGGCCACCCTGACCCAAAACAATAATTCTGCTTCAATGGATAAAATTTAATAAAAAAAATTATTTTTTTCAAATGTGTTTTGTTTTCATGATTTATGATGTCTTATTTTATTTTTATTTACTGTTCAAAATTAAAAAATAAATTGATTGGATAAGAGAGGGGGGGGAGCATGTCGGCACTTTTTTTTATGTAAATTTGACCTTTAAGCGATTTCTTAATTTTATTTGAATTTTCCGACAATCTCTTTAGCATTTACTCATAACTAAAAAAATAATTTTATTTAAGTCTGGCATTAAAAAGGCATTTTAACAAAAATTTTTTTAAAATAACAACATTCATTTAAATAAAAATTATTAAAATTTAATTACCGTATTTACTCGATTAATTCCCCCGGGGAATTATTTTTTCAACCCATCCGTGACATGGGGAATTATTCAAAGGAGGGGATTTATTCGGTTTTTGAAATTTGAACATGTAGTAGGGTATTTGTTGGAGGGGGATTATTGATTCAACTTATCCAGAGTAGGGGGAATTATTCGAGGGAGGGGAATTAATTGAGTAAATACGGTATGTGAAGTCCATTTAAAAAATAATTTTCTCCAAATGTCATTATTATAAGTCCAGCTAAGTTTCCTCCCAACCATAAAGCAAAAATGAAAACTATCAGTCATTGTTGGTGGCATGACTAACAAATAAGCGATTAACAACAAACTTGCGTCGGAGAGCTCTCATTTGTCAGGATCGAGTCCAATCTAATTTTTACTTTTTCTGTGATCAGTTTGATTGCTTAACTATATTTTCTGGTCTTGAAGCGCGATTCTCCCTGAGAGAGAGGAATTTTTTGGGAAAACTTTCTGGAAACTTTCTCCTCTTATAAAAAATTTTTTTTAATTTTATAATTAATTTTAATAATTTAGACAAAAGCAAAAAAATGTTCAAAACCCCCATTCCAATTTTTCTTTTTACTTTCCTTTGTATTATTTCAATTGTCAAAAGCGATATAAAAAAATTTAAGTTAAAAATTATTTGGATAAAAACCCAATTTCTTTGTGTTCATATAAAATGTCATACAAGTTTAGAGTAAATAGAGGAGAAAAAATAATTAAAGACGAATCACAAAATACCATCGTTTTCCAAGTTGGAAGTAATGTCAAGTCAGACGATATAGAAATACCGGATGATTGCATTCTTTCAAAACCTTTTAAATTTTATATAACACCACGTGTTATTTTACCTAATAAACATGCATATTGTCAAGGAGATGGACCGAATGGAGAAGAAAATGATTTTAACAAATGGGTTTGTTTATATGGTTAATATTTACCATAAACAATCGAATCTCGATATTCTCCTCAATATCTCGTCCGATTCGCTATTTCATAAATTTTGGCTCTGAATTCATAGCCTTCGAGTTTCCGAGTCTCTAAGTGGGCTTCTATTAGAGATGTGCTTCAATAGGATATTTATAAGAAATGATTCTTACTCAAATTCATTGACTATTTAAAAATTTTTTTTATTTTTAGAAGCTTTTTAATAAGAAGATTGGAAGTGGATTAGTTGAAATCACATATAAAAATAATTGAGAGTATGATAAACACCAAATTGTAGTTTTGGCGGATTTTAAAAAAAATGTTAGCGTAGACAAATTCTAAAAAATGAATTTACAAGCAAAAGGTCCACTATGTGGAAGCTAAATATATTCAATTTTAAAAAAGAAAAGATTCAAATTATTAAATTATTTAATTTATAGTAGTATGTAAATGTTAAAAATTTAGTTGATAAAAAATTAAATGAGTTATTCGCTTTTAATTTTTAATTATTTCAATAGTAAAGTTAAAAATATGAGGTCCAGGCTATCTGAGAATGGGAATAAATGTGGATGTACGCTTACCGTATATGCTCTATTAATTACCCTCTTTCAAATAATTACCGCTCCCCTAATTATAAATTTCAATAATGAAATATCTTAGATATGAAGGGATGAAAAGGATTTGGGGAGATATCGAGGAATTTATTTAGATATACAGACCCTTACCTTGTGTTAAAAATCAAATCCAAACATTTAAATAAATTTATTGAAGATAATTTCTACCAAAAAAATATAAAATCAAAAATAAATATAAAATTATTATTTACACAAAAATTAAAATCAAAAAAGTTTATCCCCCATAACGAGTAAAAACTCCATCGTCTGGATCCAAAATTGGCCCTTCAGCATTTTCTGGATTTTGTATAGACCTTTTTTGATGTCTTTTTAGTTGATTTATTGAATTAATTTGTGATGAAGTCATTCCTTTTTTAATTAAATTGTTTTGAATTAATGGATAAGAATTACACAAATGTTGAAGTAGTAAACCTTTTAAATTAAGAAAAATAGTCTTGGTTTTCTAATGGGGTTTTGAAATTATGGATGAACTTGATAAGTAGGGTTGCCGTTTTCGAGTCGGGCCGACGGTCGAGTCATTTTTTTCGGGCATCATTTTTATCGAGTCGGGTCAAACGAGTCTTTTTCGGGCCTCATTTTTATCGAGTCGGGTCAAACGAGTCTTTTTCGGGCATAATTTTTATCGAGTCGGGTCAAACGAGTCTTTTTCGGGCCTCATTTTTATCGAGTCGGGTCATACGAGTCTTTTTCGGGCATAATTTTTATCGAGTCGGGCATCGAGACTTTTTCGGGCCTTTTTTCAAAAAGATTTATTCAAAAAAACAAAAATAATTTTGCTTATTTGTCATCAAAAATAAATCATATTAACATTGTTTTTCATAATCTTCTTCACTAGGGTTGTTCCCCGACGGGGGAGGGGGGGGAGGAGGAGGGCCACGGGGAAAATTTTCGGGGAGGCAGCGCCACGGGGGGGGGACGCCTTCTTTTTTTACGCCTTCTTCATTTTTTGCGCCGCAGGCGAAAATTTTGAGAATTTTGTAGGTCCTTAAGCCAGATTTCTTCCATTTTTTGCGCCGCAGGCGAAAATTTTGGGAATTTTGTAGGTCCTTAAGCCAGATTTCTTCCATTTTTTGCGCAGCAGGCGAAAATTTTGGGAATTTTGTAGGTCCTTAAGCCAGATTTCTTCCATTTTTTGCGCAGCAGGCGAAAATTTTGGGAATTTTGTAGGTCCTTAAGCCAGATTTCTTCCATTTTTTGCGCAGCAGGCGAAAATTTTGGGAATTTTGTAGGTCCTTAAGCCAGATTTCTTCCATTTTTTGCGCAGCAGGCGAAAATTTTGGGAATTTTGTAGGTCCTTAAGCCAGATTTCTTCCATTTTTTGCGCAGCAGGCGAAAATTTTGGGAATTTTGTAGGTCCTTAAGCCAGATTTCTTCCATTTTTTGCGCAGCAGGCGAAAATTTTGGGAATTTTGGAGGTCCTTAATCGTCTCTTGTATTAAAAAAAGTTAAAATAATCTGAAAATAAGTCTCAAACGATGATTAGTACTCGAACCCAACAATCCTTTAAATAAAATCCAGCGCCTTAACCACTCAACTAACCGCTCATTTAACTAGTTCTGAAAGAAAATATATTTCCCTTACTCAGTAAAAGAAATATCAAAGAGGAAGATCCAAAAGGAAATATTTATCGAGGACATTCGAGTCGGGCCAGTTTTTTCCGAGTCATTTTATTCGGGCTTCATTTTTATCGAGTCGGGTCAAACGAGTCTTTTTCGGGCCTCATTTTTATCGAGTCGGGTCAAACGAGTCTTTTTCGGGCCTCATTTTTATCGAGTCGGGTCAAACGAGTCTTTTTCGGGCCAAATATCCTAGGCCCGACTCGATCTTTCGGTCCGAGTCGGGCCATTTTGGCAACCCTATTGATAAGTAAGGTTTTATTTGAATATAGTACTAACTCCCTTCTATGAATTTATGGTAAGCAAGTCCCTCGGTAATAGTTTGGAAGTAGCCTCCTTTTTCCCCGTTTCCCTGACTGTTTTGATCAGGGAAACGGCCCTTCTCCTTATGTTAAAAAACAAATTTATTTAGAACTACCTTCTATTAGAAAATTTGATATTACAGACAACGAAGGTGTTACTTAAAGGAATATACCTAAATGAGTTTTCGGATGTGGATTCACTATAGTTCTCTTTTATATTCGAATTTTCAGCTTCGACATAGTAAAGAGAATGTTTTGACATTCCATAAATATAGGGGGTTTATACCAGGTCTGGGCTAATTTCGCGATTCTCATCTTTTGGATTTTTTACATTTTTCAATGCGAAAAGTTTCGCCATTGTATTTTTAGCTTTTAACCAGCCTGGTTTATACTGGTAAATGGAACAGATTGAAAAATGCCAGGTTGAGTTTTCAAAATTTTTCCGCCCGAGTTTCGTGTAATGAGTCCTTCCCTGCTTGCTAGATTACTTAATTTTTGGGAGAATTGGGGAAACGTGGGGAAGAACTTTAAAAAAATTAAAAAAATTAACAAATTACTCACCTAACAATAAACAAACAACCAACAATTTTTGTATTCGACAATAATTATTTTTAAACATTTTTTTAAATTTAGAATGGTTTGTGCTTTTACTAAATCTTTTTATTTATAAAGAAATTATTTTAGAATATTAATTTTATTTTTTTTAATAATTTATGGCTTTATTTAAATATTTTTTGTCGTTAAAAATAAATTTTCGTCCCTTCTTTAATTCCTTAAATTCCTTTTTTTAATCGAGAATTAAAAATTCTTTAAAGGAACAATTTCTTTTTTGAAATAAAAAAATGTTTAAAATTTTATTTAAAAAATTCTTCTAATTTTTATCTATTTAAAGTAACACAAAAATAATTAATTTTTTGAAATAAAAGAATTTTTAGAATAATGGAAGACAAAAATTAATACCTCTTCTCAATAGTAGTGTTTCACGGAACCAATTTGTAAAACGGAACCAGATCCAATTTGAGTTCCGGTTCCCGGAACCGGAATCAAAAACATAGGAACTTTCCGGAACCGGAACTTCCGGTAAAACTCTACTCAATAGGTAATAAGTAGGGAGTGGCAAAACATGCAAATGCATATTTTGCATGCGGATATGCCATGAGCTGAAACGCTCAAAAATGGTGTTTTCACGTCGGTACGATCATTAGGGACCGGGTTCCTATAGCATATTTTTGCATATTTCGGTACTTTCGTGCATATTTGCATATCGATGCATATTTTGGGAAATTTTGCATATTTTTACCTAAATTTGTGCATATTTTGGCATTTTTTGAGAAATTTTAGTAAAAATCGGGCAAAATTTTCAAAATTTTGGAATTTTTTGAGCAAAAAATTTTTTAATAAAAATTTGATGAAAAATTTTTTCGAAAAATTTTTCGGGAAAAATTTTTTCAAAAAAATTCATTTTGGTTGAATTTCAAGTTAATAAAATCTTTTAGAAGTGCTCTTAAACTGCAATAAAGATGTTAAATTTGTATTTTTTACTTGAAATATTGATTTTTAAAACACATTTTCATTATTTTTGCGGCATATTTAGTGCATATTTTGGCAAATTTTTCATATTTTGTTGCATATTTTGGGCGTTTTTCGCTGCATATATATGCGCATATTTTTTGATTTTCCGTGCATATTTTGCCACTCCCTAGTAATAAGGTAAAAAATCACCCCTATTTGTTCGAGTATATCTTTATATCTCGGATTGGGATCTATGGCCAACTACACTAAGCAAAGTAACTGTTATCTTTAGATTTTTGGGACGCAAAATTCATAGGATGCACAAGTGAATGTGTTATCATGCAATTCTTCTATGGGGGACTCATATTTTGTTATAAGACACTTGTCCTGCATTAGAGCCAAGTTTTTCTTTTTTTCCCCAACTCATTTTCTTTTTTTTTAGTTTTTGGTAGTTTCAAGTCAGACTAACTTTAGAAGAGGTGATAGAAACAAAAAAATTACGAGATGAAAAAGAAATATAACAAAAAGAAAATATAAAACAATTTTCTCCTTAAAACAGTCTAAAAAATAAAAAGCGACACATTTCTCTTAGTTTATTTTCAACAACATATATAAACTTGAGGTAAAACGACAATTATCAGCGACAGGTCCGGAGTAACTGGGTTATCGCGTATATTCTCTCTCACTCTCCATAAACTACCCAGTTGCATCTACTTGACCGTCGCTTTTTTTGGAATATTTTTAGATATTTGATTTTTACAGAAAATTTCTATAAAAATCACCAAATCTTTTCGAAATCCTACTTTAAAAAATCGACGACTTTATAGGTTGCGGATATTGTAATCGTCTATAATAACTACAAACCATGACTTCATTGTCTATTTGTTTTACACATAAATCCATAATTTATTTCTTTAAGGACCTATAACGAAACTAGAGTAGCAACCCGACCCTTCGGGGGCGGGTGCGTCGGGGATCGGGTTTGCCGGGGAAGGCATGTCTGTTATTTTCTGAAAGTTTGTAAATAGTCCCATTTTAAGAGTTGTTAGAAACATATGAAATAAAGAAATGGAAAAGAAATATAACAGAAGAAAAGCTTATTTCTCTTTACAAAATAAACAGCGACACATTTTTCTAATTTTGTTTTCAACTACATATTTAAATTTGAAGTAATAATTCACTCCCAGCGAAAGGTCCGGAGTGACTGGGTTATCAAACATAATGAAAAACGCCCAGTTACAATTACTTGACTTTCGCTTTTTTGCAATATTTAAAATTTTTTAAATTTTAATTTTTACAAAAATTCCTACAAAAATTATCAAATCGTTTTGAGATAGGAATAAACGTTCTCGTCTCCTCATTGAAATTTTGATTCCAAATCAGGGTGCCGATTTTACCCTATTTATAGGGCATTTGCCATATTTTTGAACTTTTCGCCCTATTTTTTCCCTATTTTTTCATTTGCCATATTTTTGCCCTATTTTTACCATCTTGTAAAATTTTTAAAATTCTTCGGATTTTGTAAATAAAATGTGAAAAAAGAAGAAATATGACTCTTGGACGTAAAAAATTAATAAAATTTTCGCCTGCGGCGCTGAAAATGGAAGAAATTTTGTGACATGACCTTCCAAAATTTTCAAAAATTTCGCCTGCGGCGCTGAAATTATCGGCTTATTATGAGAGACCGCAAGAAAGGATCACGTACGGGATTGTCGGTTCCAAATTCGGATATCTAAATTCGGCTCGACTCCCGGTTCCGATTTTCGAGATCATTTTTTGGAATTTCGATGTAAAAGATTTTTAAAATTATTTTCATCGATATTTTCGAAATGTTTTTGATTTACAATCTTAAAAAAATATTTTTATTTAGAAACAACTCGATCCCTATGTGCTAATTTAGTTAAAACTAGTGAAAATATGCAGATAAGGCTTTTTATTTGAGATTTTAATTAATTTTTAAAATCATGCCCTATTTTTTGCCCTATTTTTGACAAATTTCGCCCTATTTTTGCCCTATTTTCGAGAGGCTGCGCCCTATTTTAGTGGTTTGGAATCGGTCACCCTGTTCCAAATGCATCAAAAATTTACAAGTCCCGGCTGTTGCGGAATCATTTTACGAACCAGAGACTTTATTGTTTATCCAAATGGTTTTTCTGACTTCTAGTTGTGAGAGAGAAAGAAAAGATAAACAAAGAAAATAAAATTTATTAAGCATTTCTCATCATTTAAAAATAAAAAAAGTGCACATCGACACTTTTCTTTTAAAATATTTTTATCCATAATATAAACAAATCTTTTCCATGACAGAAGCGATGCGAAAGGTCCGGAGTGATTGGGTTATCTAGATAAATAGTAATGAATACAAACAATGGACATCAACTACAATGCCATGTGGAAGAACATGTAAAACTCCTACCCAATTACAAATTATTGACCTTCGCCATTTTTTCTACGATTTAAAAATTTATTTTAATTTCAGGCAAAGGTATGAAGAAATTTTTCTCGTGTTTATGTGGTGAAGAACTTATTTTAACATGACTTTTTTACCAAACTTTTCTGCGTGACAAAGTCGATGCCCGAAGAATGACCTATTAAGTGATTATACGTAAATGTCCTTTTGCTATTTTATAAGATAGGTTAAACTTTTTATTGTTGTTACTATCAGGGCCGAGTTTATGCCGTTTCCGCCTTCATTTTTTAAAAATTATCCAGACCTGGTATATACAGGTTCTTAACATTGTGAATTTATTCTTTACAGCTAACAGTAATCCTTGATATCTACCAATAAAATAGATATTCCTAATAATCCACCTTTGATTTAAAAAATTTAAATTAAAAGTTCAATCAACACCTCTTCCCAAAATTAAAAAAAAGCAAAACACATTTTTCTTAAATATTTTATCCTCCTTTCGAGTTTAGCAACCGGGAGAAAAAAAATATTTAATGGATCAGTAAAAGGATATATTTTTTCTCCTTTACAAATTCCAACAAAAAAACATTTTCTTTCCTTTACTTTTAAAAACAAAAAAACTCCCTCCCTACACATTTTTCTGTTTGTTTTTCTATTTATTCTCGTTCTTTTAAACGTCCCTTTTCTTTGATTACTCATTTTGCTTTTTACATTACCAGATCGATCAGAAGCATTAGAGAGAATTTTGAGAGGATTGGGACAGAAAGGAAAGGGGTTGTAGGGCAGGAGAAAAATGGAAGAAAAAAGCTTTGAGAAAATTGAGGCAAAAATTTAGAGAGGTAAATAAATGGAGGGAAAGGAGGGAGGGGAAGGGGAAGGGGAAGGGATTGATCGAAAGAAAAAAAAGATTTTTCAGCTTTTTAAAACTAACCGGCTGACTGGACTGTTGTATATGTGTGTGTTTATTGCAAATAAGAATGGGAACTTTGGGTGGGTGGAGGAGGAGGAAAGAAAGGAAAGGAAGGAGATAAGAGAAGGGAAGAAGGGAAGAAGAACACTATCAAACAACATTAATTCATCAAAGCTTCTTCCATTAAGCTGCTTTTACCTTTTCCCTGTCTGGGACTTGATTAAATCCAGATTTATCTAAAAAGGATGACGCTTTATATTTTATTTTTGCATGTTTTTTTAAATTGGATTTTATTTGGGATTATTTTTAAATTATTTTATTTTTGATTTTTAATTGGTCTAAGGAATTTGATGGACATTATCTCGAGTAAACGATGTCTATTCTTGAAAAAATGTTTTTGTAAATTCCGAATATTTATCGAAAATGTTGAAATGATTCCCTCTCTCTCTCTCTCAAATAATTACCCTTCCGTTGAGAGATTAAAACAATAATGGATGATACTTTGGGATATCTTCCCGATGCCGTCCCTGTTCCAATCCTTTACGACCATGCGGTGAGACATCTCCAAAGTACCTCAATAATTATTCAGAGTGATTACAGTAGTTAAATTTTCTTTTTCGTGCCGACGTAGAAATAAGTTCCTGATTTCTGGAATCGGTACGACAGGCAGGATCGTTGGTGTTACTTACAGCCAAGATCCGATTTTATTTTTGTTTGTGCTTTATTTTTAAACGAATAATTTTAGTAATATTTAAAAAATTATTTAAAAAATGACTTCAAAAAAGCAACAATCTGTGGACAGTGAAGATATTGTAATTTTAAAAACAATTAAAAATTACCAAAAAATATTTTTAGATGACAGATGCAGATTTTGAGAAAGCAATGGCTGCATTACAAGAAGAGGGGGATGAAGAAGTTAACGAATTAATTGGTTAATTTTTTGTGAATTTTTTTAGAAAAAAATATTTGTGGAAAATATTATTTTGTGACGGATTGAGATGACACTAGAAATACTTGAATTAATCCCAATTCCCCTATCAATTTGGGAACTGGAATAAAGTTGGAATAAGTTGGAGATAAATACAATCGAATCTTTTTCCCAAAATTATTTAGATACTCTTCGATATAGACTAGTTTCTAAATTCATTTGGCCATTGGTTGGGGAGTTGTTTAAGCGATACCCTAAATTTATGATACTTCTAGCAATGTTTTCAGCCCTAAGGATTACTTTATATGAGATTTGTTCCCTTTTCTAAAATAGGGGAGATTAAGCAGTTATCGGGTAGGCGAGGGTTTAATCTTTTTAGAAGAGGAGCACTCGAACGTGGTGAGCCTTAGAAATTGTTGCTTTTTTTAATTTTTATTTAAAATAAAAAAATATTTTTTCTAGTTCATAATATATTTAAATAAAATAATTAATTAACTGTTTTTTAGTGGCAATGAGTGAGAATCGAATAATTAGTTGGGATGTAAGTGTAAATTTAAATTTAAAAAATTAAAAATTAAAATAAAAAAGGAAGCAGAAAGAATATTAGGAGAAACGAGTAATGAACCAATTAAATCAAGTTTACCCCAACAAACAAGGCCGACAGAACCAGATAATGACACAGATGTGGAGGTGTGCATGCAAAAATTATTTAAAAATGATCCAAAATTAATTGAAATTAATTTGAATAATATGAAGGTGATTTTAAATTAATTTATTTTTAAAATTTCTAAATTTAAATTTATTTCTTAAATTTATGTTTCTTAATTGCCCATTTAATTTGCACCCCTTAATTATATTTCAAATACGGTATTCCATTTTCTCTTCTTTATAATTAATAAAAGAAGGTGGTCTTTCGCTTACGAACATACCGCGTTGAAAGCACGCCGTCCCGTCTGATCTGGCAAGTTAAGCAACGCTGGGCCTCCTTAGTACTTGGAACGGAGACGTCCTGGGAATCGGGGGTGTCGTAAGCTTTTTTTGTTTATTTTTTAAAATAAAAATTTTTTAAATTAGATGAATGACCTTTTTTCTAGTTTGGGGCTTGATGGGATTTAAAAAATAAATGAAAATTTTTTTTATTTTAAAGAGAACGCCAATACCAAAAATTAAAAGAATGATAGAAGCAATTAAAGAAAATGAATATTTAGAAAAACTTTCACTTGCAAATATGGGTTTATATGATATGGATTTGGAACCCTTAATTGAAGTTATTAAACAAAATACAAATTTGCGTTGTTTAAATTTAGAAACAAATTATTTAAGCGGAGATTTTTTTTCGAAATTATTTAAGGCTGCTTTAAATAATCAATCTCTGGAGGAAATTAAGGCTGTTAATCAAGTAAGTAGTTTTTGGAGGAAATTTTTGTGGGGGACATTTTAACGAAAAGATAATTCACCGAATTTCTAAGATAATCGTTAAACCCTCTATTTTGTGTACACCCTCTATTTTATGGACACCTTTATATGGCGTTGGTGTCTAACCTCCATTTTACAGATTATTTTGTGCCTATATGAGTCTTCCTTCTAATTAGCGCACACTATTTAATAGATACCTATAATAAGTACGGTAGAGGGATTAGTAATACGGTAGTGAATACAGTTGTGTTAAACTCTATTATAAGATTTTAAAAGAATTCCGACAAGTTTCAATTTTTATTATTTAAAGGGTGTAGCTTTTTCAACACAAACAGAAAGAGAAATTATTGAGGCAATAATGCAAAATCGGGGTCTTACAAAAGTTAGTATCAATTTAAGATTGCCTGAAGGACGATTTAAAGTAGAACAAGCTACTATTAGAAATCAGGAAATTAGTAAGTTTTATTAATGTTGGGTGGATATTTTACTAAAAAGACAATTCTAGGAATTTTCTAAATCTAAAGGCATGTAAAGGATTTAAGAATGAAATAAAATAAGGGATTAGCAAATCTTTCCAGGGGAGTCTGAGACACCCTTGTTTCCGTCTTAGGCTTTGTTCTGTCTGGAAGGCTGGAAAGAATAGAATAATGTGAAGGGAACATCACACCTAGTCTGAACGGTACACTCATAGTGTGAAGGGAACATAACACTCCATTATTTGGAAATGTGTGATATCTGGAAATTTGCGATAGATTATAGATGACAAATTAGGGGTCAAATCTATACCTGATAAAAAAATATTTAAATCAAAAAAGGAAGAATTCTTCGACGTCAAATGTTGGCCGAACAAAAAGCTGCTGCAGAAGAACAGAAACCTAAATCCCCAACAAAAATACTTCCCAAAAAAGAAGAAAAACCAAAAGAAGAAAAGAAAACATTAAAAAGGCAACCTAGTGGGGCTGCAGCAGAATTAGCTAAACAACATATTCCTGCAAAATTGGCAATTGCTGGTGTTAATACACCAAGGCCTAGTACTTCTGAATCTGAACCTATTTATTTGGAGAAAAAGGTTGGGGGTTATATAATAGAAAAATATTTTTATGAAAAATTTTCTTGGCAGACATCCTCTATATAGTGTACCTCTATTTAGTGTACCTCCTATTTAATGGACTCTCTATATAACTGACCCTACCTATAATGGAAACTATACTTTCCCCATATCTAAAAATTTAAGTTTAGAGGGTATTTCGGTGATTCTAGAGGTGAGGGTTTTTAAATTATCTGGTAGGCTGGAAGGAACACCTATAGAGTGAAAGGAATATCACATATAATAATTTGAGAGAATGGGCCAAAATTTAAACAACTAGAAATCATGATGTGTCTAAATTTAAATTTGTATAGACAGCAGTTAGAGAACGTGCACGCGAAGCAGACGAAAAATCCAAAAAGCCTTATGAAAAAAATGCAGAAAGGGCTATTTTGGCAGAAAAGTCAAAACAAAAGAATGCTGCTGCAACAGCTTCCAAATGGCCTCCAAATTCCCGGCTTAAAAGCAAAGATTCTAAAGATGAAGAGGAACAACCTAAAGTATGTGGAAATTGGGGGAAGGAGTTGGGGGAAATTTTAAATTTTTTGAAGCAAATTTTGTAGACTAAAAATTTATAGGATAAAGTCTTTCCTAAATCGCCTGTGAATGAAATAAGTGAATATTAAAAACAATTTTTGGCTCATTAACGAGAGCTTAATTGTTTTTAAGGAAAATTAGGTGTTTTAGGATTTATGCCCATTTACGAAAAAACATAAAAAATTAATTTTGCGAATATACTTGGTCTGATCAGAAAAGAAGGAGTAATTGATAAAATGAGAGAGACTAATCAAAATAGATTCTTATAAGTTTAATTGGGCACAAAATTTAAACAGATAAAAATAAAAAAAGAAATCAGAATTTTAAAATTAATTAAAAATAATTAATTAATTATAGCCTACAAGAGTACTAAAAAAACAACCAAATATCGAGAAAGACCACCAGAAAGAAGAATTAACAAAAAATAAAATTCCAAGTTGGAGGGACAGAATGGCTAAAAGAGAAAGCGAAGATTTAACAGAAAATATTCCAAAAACTTCTTTGGCATTACGAAATAAATTTGAGAAAATGGGGTCTAAAGAAAATGGGGAAGAAGAAAAGAAATTGGTGATAAAAAAGAAGGAAAATAAAGGAGGGGAAAAATTAGTAGAAAATGTTAAAGCTAAATTACAGCAACAAACATCTTTAAGTAAAAAAAGTATTTCTTCTGTTGAATCTTTTGATGAAGAAAAGAAAAATATTAAAAATATTGGTGGAGGAGGAGGAAATTTAAATAATAATTTGAAAAATAAAAATTTGGTAAATTTTTATTTCTTTAAAATTTAAATATTTTATTTCCTCTCATATCGAACTTAACGTATTTTCTTAGTAAAAATGTTGGGACGTGGACTTGTACCCAGGGTAATTATTGTTTCAACCTATCGCGCTGGGGGGTGAGTAATTAAAAGGGAGGGGGAATTACTTGAGAGAGGGACATTATTTCAGCATTTACGGTATTTCTCTTAAAAATAAAGGAATCCGCAAAGTCGCAATTGCGGGATTTTTATAAGTATAGATTTATTAAAAATTATTTTTTTTTAAATTTAAAGGCAAACTCAACAGACAAACAAATACTAACAACAAGAAAACTAAGCAAATCCCCTCCCAAATCCCCTCCCAAAAAACAAAATATAATTCCCCCTCCAGTTGCCAAAAAAACATTTAAAATACCCGAAGAAAACAACACCACCAAACCTTCTTTAAATGAAAATTCTTCACCAATTAAAAAACAACCAATTGAAGACAAACAACAAAATAAACCTTCGACTACCGGTTATACTCCTTCTTGGCGTAAAAAATGAAAAAGGAAAATTTTAAAGAAAATTAAGAAAATGAGGGAATTTAATGGGGAATGGAAGGGGGCACGCGAGTTTATTAAAAGTATGGAATTTTAAGCGTGAAAATCGCACCTAGATTTTAATCACTCTTAAAATCACATCGAAAAGTGTGAAATTTTATGGTGATATTTTTGTATGTAGGTGAAAAAAGAGTGAAAATTTAAGGAAAATAATATTTTTCGGAATTAAAAAATCGTCTCAAAATTTTGGGGGCTTTTTCTATTAATTGGACCCCACTTATGCATGCACCCTTTAAATGTGGAAATCGTACATATTAAAATTAGGATTACTTTAAAATGGATGGTCTAACTCTAAGCAGATCTCTCTCCCCAATGACCAACCAAAACGAATACTAAAATAAAAATCAAGCTTAAAGTTACCAATTAATATTTTTCTAAACTCGCTCCACCCCAAATTTTGTTTTATTTTTTAAACTTTTTTCATGTAAAAACGTTCAAGCTAATTTTTGTGCCCTAAATTTTTATTTTTACACCAAGGCTTTGATTTTTTTATAAACATAAACAATGAACTTTCTTTGTGTTAAATTCTCACTTAAAGTCCCTAGTAAAAGTTGCAACACTTTATGCTACGGTTACATAAAAATCGCGCGCGTCTTGAGACAGACGCTCGGCGACAAGACGCGCGCGACAGTCGCTAGTGGTGTGGTTACATAAAATCGGCGTCTTCCGCAAAAGCGACTGTCGCAAAGCGACAAACGCTGATTTTATGTAACCACGCCACTAGCGACTGTCGCGCGCGTCTTGTCGCCGAGCGTCTGTCTCAAGACGCGCGCGATTTTATGTAACCACTAAATCCGATTAAAAATTTTTTTAAATATTTATCATACTAAAATAAAATTTATAAAATCAAATCATTTTATTCTGCCATGGTACCGATCAGGGGTGGCGCTCCTCTCGTATCTCGTGAAATCTCGTGTTTTTTAGAGGTCTCGTATCTAGGGTGGCCCTTTCCAAAACACTAAAATAGTGCGCAGCTACTCAAAAATAGGGCAAAAATAGGGCGAAATTGGCCAAAAATAGGGCAAAAAATAGGGCATTATTTAAAAATCTTAAAAATAATTGAAATTTCAATTAAAAAGCTTTATTCTAAATTTTTTAACTAGGTTTAACTAAATTGAGCAAATGGAGGGATATAGGGGGATTTTGAGGGCCGCGCGACATTTCGGGCGTGTCCCTCAAGAAAGTTATCTATGATGGATAAATGGTTAGAAACTTGTAGTTATATAGGGATTTGTGAGGATTCAGTGGATTTGGGGGTAGTAGAAATATCGGGTATTTTTTACGTCCAATTTTGGTGGATTAAGTGCTGGGATTGGGGGTTTAAGAGAGATATCGAGGCACTTGGGGATTTATCCCCCGATGTCCCTTCATATACCCTTAATTATTATAAATTACATTATATCCAACTTAGTAAATAATATATATAATATGGCAAATGGCAAAAATAGTAGGTACCCGATATTTCCCGCTTGACCAACTTTATCCCTCTTCCGTTTTCAGCGCCGCAGGCAAAAATTTTGGGAATTTTAGAAGGCCGTAGACCAAAAAATTCACTATTTCAGCGCCGAGGAATAATATCCAAACTTTTAAAAAAGCTATTATTTTAAATTGCCAAATTTTGGGTATTTATAGAGTTCTGGGTTAATTTTCTTTGAATAAGGGTTAACCCATAGCTCGGTGTCTAGGCTGAAAAATAAAAAAATTCCAAACCGTCTTAATCCCTTAAATGCCTCGATTTTCCCCAAAATTTGTTGTCCCTAACTATATATATGGTACGAGCCCTACTCTTCAAGAAATGGTCACTTTTTCGTGTTTTTGGTATCATTTGATAGAGAAGCAAAAGCTCTACAACATATCAAAAAATCAGAATTTTTGACCGATTGATGAAAATGTTATGATATAAATACTCGATATCATACTGAATATCTCAAAAATATCGAAAAAAAAAGAATATTTTTTGCAAAAAGTATACCTTTTTCAAAACCAATTTTAACCCATAAGATTTAACTTTAAAAATATAAAATTTATATTGATCGATAGAGAATAAAAAGAACTTTCAGAATCTTTTTAAATTTTGAAAATTAGATCAGAATTGGCCGAGAAATGATCAAGACGCTAAAAGTTGTCGCCAAAAATTCAAACATGTTTGAATTAAAAAAAGTGTCGCCGGCGACAAGACGCCGGCGGAAGACGCTTTTTATGTAACCACTAGAAAAAAGCGACAAGACGCCGGCGTCTTGTCGCTGGCGGAAGACGCGGTTTATGTAACCACTCGAAAAAAGCGACAAGACGCCGGCGACAAGACGCCGGCGGAAGACGTATTTTATGTAACCACTAGAAAAAAGAGACAAAAATTTTTTCCTCTTTTCTCTCCTCTTTTTACATTATCTTTTCTGTCGCAAGACGCGCGCGATTTTTATGTAACCGTAGCATTAGGCGACCGAAATGACAACACTCAAGAAATGACTGAATTTTTGAAACTCATTAAAAAATTTTTTTCTTGGACGCTTAAATTCTTGATGACCTAAAAGTCAAGGGCTCAGTCTATCCGACTACCTTAACCCCTCCCTGAGCTTTTTCATTTTAGCAAAGGCTAAAGATTTATTTCGATCCTATGATAAAAACAAAACAAAAAACACAAACAAACATAATTTATTTACATAATCACAACAATATATATACAATTATGAGGTCAACATACAAATACAAGCGAATACACAAGCAAAATACAACAATGAATATACATGAACATATCACTATATCACAGCAGAACATTCCTCTGTCCCAACTAACGCTTAGTCTGCTTGTAGATGCGCTTAGATATGGCCTGAATCAATTTGTCAATTGCTTCCGTGTCCACTTTGAACCTGCCCGCATCAGCCTTGTTCTTCGCGTACCTGTGAAGGAAAAATTGAAATTTTAAGGAATTTATAAGGTGTGCCTTTAGTATCCCTTACCGGAGAAAGACGCTGTAGATGTACAGGTACTGATCCAGGGTTTGCACACTGCCTGCCCGTTGACGACGCAAATCTGCCACCAATTCGTAGAAGTCCAGACGCTGCCCAGAGCGCAGTGTGTTCTGAGCCAAGTAGATCATGACGATAGTCCCGGTCCTGCCAATACCTAAAAGCCGGAAAAATTGGTCAAAAATTAATTTTTTTATTGTGGGCATTCACCTGCCGAACAGTGGACGACTATTGGCTTGTATTTCCCGATGTAGAAGAGCAGTCGTAGCGCCGCGAGATGGTTCATAGGCACTCCACGATCGGGCCAACGTCTCCAATGGAAGTGACGAACGTTCGCTTGCCGCTTTGGATTGTCGCTGGTGACCTGCAGGCGTGTCCGAATAAGATGGTTGTCGTCCAGTGCCTCCGTGTCCACGAACCGAACTCTTATGTTGCCGTCCCGACTGGTGATTGCCTGAAAAAATAACAAAACCATTAAATTAATGCCTTAATTTACAGAGAGGCTAACCGATTCTGGTGTATTATCCTTAGGCCAGTACTGGTGACACTTGGGACGATTGAGCTCAACGGTGTCACATAACATCACAACCGCCTCAACTTTCTCCTGCAGAACCATTTCCCAGAAGTCGCCAACTGTCTGCGGAAGAGGGCCCTGCGTGCAGATGTATCGCCGATCACCTGAAAAAGAGTTTTGTTTTGTTTTAAACATACCAAATTCCACCTTGGCTATCAATCCAGTTGGCGTGTATGTAGCGTCCGTTTGTCAGAGCGACCCGGTTGTTCTCGACGCAGATGACATCTCGATAACGGTTCAGTGTTGGATTGCTACAAAAATAAAAATAATTGAGCGTTAAAAACAACTTAGCCGGAAAAAATCACCGTGCAAATTCCTCAGATGGTTCCGGTCGCGGTTGGCTCTGAAGACGCTCAAACTCAGATTCCAGATCCGTCAGCTGTTTCCGCGAAGTCTCCTGGGCCCAGGCCTGAAGCTGCTCAATGAACGCTGCATCTTCGTTGCTGTCCTCGACGGTTTTAGGTCTTTCGGCTGTTTGTGGTCTTCCCTGTTGTCGAGTAGTACCTGGGCGGCTCTGTGGACGTCGTCGTTCGCTGCTGCTTCGCTGCCCAGCCGATTGACGAGTTGTCCTTGGGGTGCTTCCGGAAGATGAGCGTCCTCTTGGAGTGTCTCCTCGGGCGGCAGTGACGATGTTGCGGTTGTTGCGGCTGGTCATGTAGTGTAGACGAGCGAAGTTTAGAAGAATGGAAGTCGGTTGAGTTGAATGTTGGTTGGGGTTACGTTTTAAGGCTGGCTTTTATAGCATTTTCTGGAAAGAATTTTACGCTTGAGAGAGACTTATTTGCAGTGGTGTCCCTATAGTATAAAAGCCCGTTTCAGCGTCAGTCTAACCGGATCATACTAGTCCGGCTATCTCTTTCGTCTTTTTCGGCCCGGTCCACTTTAGCGTCCATTCTTGCCACTCTGCATCAACTTTTCTTGTGCACGTCAACTATCTCGAACAACCCTCGGACATAACAGAGGACGAATTCATAAAGTCTCTCCATCGAATGTTATAAGTCTAAACAGAGTCAATCAACACTACAGTACCACTCGAATATCTAGTTCCGTTTTTTACCTTGAATAAATACATTAATCTCACTTGAATCGTTTACATATATTTTATTGAATTTTTAACAGATTTTTGTATTATTTCAAATTTTTTTTAAAAAATTATTTTATCAGATTTTTTTGAAAAAAGGAAAATGTCATCAGCAAGCAGTTAGTTAGACCTCTTTATCAAATACACACAATATTAGATACACTTGAATTTTAGTTGGCCATTAAGTAAAAGAACTGCTTAAACGATACCCTCTATTTAAGAGACCAACTCATTATAAGAGACTTTTTCGTTCCCCTAAGGGGGTATTTTATAATAAATTTATAATAACATATCCTACTCATCAAATTTTTTTTCCTTCAAAAAAGAAAATTCTCGAAAATAATAATTTTTCTGTCTCGATGTCTTCATTCTTGTCTTAAAAAATGAAGAAAAAAATATTGAGGAAAAAAACGATCTATGCTTTTTATTTTCTTCTTTTAAAGCCTATCAACACACAAACAAAATATTTCCTTCTTATAAACACGATTTGCAGTTTAAAATAAATAAAAAGAATTATATATTTTTATTTTTTCCTGTTAATCTGTGCAACATTTGTTTTGTTTTTTGAGAAAAATGAAGTTTTTTCTGAAAAAATATATTTATTTTATTTTTTAAAAAGCCTATAACTCATAAATATGTAGTTCATACATACATATATTCATTTACTAAAAAATTAAAATTTAGAAAGCATTAAGAAAGCTTTTAGAAAGCATTAAAAAGCAAAAAAGGGTCTTTTATCCTCCCAAAAACTTAAATTTCCTTAAATCAAAAATTGGAATTTTTATATTGCCAGAATAATCTATTCAGCTCAAAACAATCAAAACTACAAAACTAGATTTTCGATACCAAAAAAATATTTTGATACCCAAGAATTTTTTGTGAATTAGAGAACAGACTAGGTATCTAATCCAAAGTTTGAAGTATTTATTGACCAGACAAAAAATTTTTTAAATTTAATTTATCAAGGTAGACTCGTAACTGTCTCTCTCTCCCATTATTTAATGTAAAACGTTATAAAAAATATTTGATTAGAGAAGTTCTAATTTTAGGAGAAAGGAAATTTTTTTGTATTTCAGTTGATTGTTAGAAAAAAAAATTTTTATTTAAAAAATAAAATGACTGGAAATAATGAATTGGAAGAACAACAAAAAGAAAATCAAAAAACAAATTTATTAATTAAAAATAATTTCAAAATATTAAAAAATGAAGAAAATTCAGATTATTTTTCTCAACAAATAATTTTTAATAGAAACCATTTTCATGAATATTTTGATACTCAAGCTTATTTAAAGGTTTTTAATTAAATTTAAATTAATTTAAATTTAAAAATTGTTGGATAAATATATAGAACGGGGCCATCTCTTAGAGATAATTTTTTAAAAATCTCGCAAAAAATTAACACTCAATGAAAAGAACAGTTCCTTTTGTAAGGAAAAAGGAAGGGCTAATCCCATTTAAAACGTACTCTAGACTAGAAACCGAACTTCAGTGGTCGTTCGAGAATATCGGTATCGATATCCTCCATCAATATATCGTATAGATTCGGTCTCTACACTAGACAGGGAATCTATTAAAAATTGAAGGTGGAATCTGCCCCAATAATTAGGGAGATACCGACCGAGGTACCCGAAACCCCGGACCCTTTTCCGACCTGAAACTTAATCCGAAGAAAAGTTCCTCTTTTCAAACATTTTACTTTATAGATTGGCTATCCACTAACCAAAAAAGATTAAGTTAAATTTTCGAACTTTTCTCTAGTTTCGAACCAAAAAATTTCGGATTTTGTATTGGGGTTCGAGTAATGCTATCAAACCCTTGCTTCCAATTTTTTAATAATTTTTTAAAAAAAATTTAATTTTTAAAGGATTTTTATTCAAAATTAGAAGACCCAGCAATGCAATTAATTCTCTTTCATTTACCTTCAATAATAGCTAGATTACCTACAAAAATAAATAATTTATTAGATTTTGGTTCTGGACCAACAATTTATGTGGCTATTTGTTTCAGAGAAAAAGCTGAAAATATTTTTCTTTCTGATTATTTGCCGCAAAACAAAAAAGAATTAAATAATTGGTTAAGTGGAAATTCCAATTTTGATTGGACTAAAATATTTAGAGTAAGGAGGAGGGAGTTTAAATTTAAAAAAGTTTATCTGTTAGGGGACTCCTTGAATGCCTAAGAATGATTTATTTCGAGTTATTAAGAGAGTGGGGGGATTAAGGGAAAACTTTTTTATGAATTATAATACTTTTGGGATCTCTAAAATTCCGATTTTTAGTTGAGGGTTTCTAGTTAAGTTTTCTAGAAAATATTTTTAAAAATTAAAGATATTTATTTTTATTTAGTTAATTGCTGTCTATGAGGCTCTCCCTTTACCTACAGATATAGAGAAAATGGAGAAATCGACAAAGGATAAAGTAATTTTTAATTTTGTGGATTGATATATGGGGAGAAAATTAACTTTTTTGCGTTTTAATAAAAATTTGTGGAAAATTTTTTGAAAACAAACCTCATCGCAAATGTCGATAAATACATACCGTATTTCCTATATTAGAGCCCCACCCTCTGTTAGAGCCCCACCCTCTAATACAGCCCCACTTTGGAGGATAGTTGAAAAATAGAGCCCCACCCTCAATTAGAGCCCCACCCCAAATACAGCCCCACCTAAAAAATATTGGAGGAAAAAAAATATCAGAATAACTTTTTAGATGTATTAAGAGAGTTAAGGAAATAAAGGGGGATATCGATGATTTCGTGATCATTGAGGAGGAGGGATCATGGGGATTAGGGATGAAAATGGGGATTAATCCCGTTATCCGTCAAAATACTCTAATATCGCCTATATTCTTCTAAATTCCTCCTATTACCTCCAAAATCTAATCATTTTATAAAGGGTTGCAATCGTGTTATAAAGGGTTGCAATCGTGTTATAAAGGGTTGCAATCGTGTTATAAAGGGTTGCAATCGTGTTATAAAGGGTTGCAATCGTGTTATTAGAGATCTATTAGATATCTAATCAGTAAAGCTGTGATAGTTAGGCAAGTAAAATCAGTGAAATAGGCGCCTAAATTAGGCACCAAAAAGCCAAAAAAGGCACAAAAATAGGCATGTAAAAAAGGTTATCAGGCCTATAAAATTAAGAAAAAAGCAAGAAAATACCCATTTACTCATCATTTTCTGTATTATAAACTACTTATTAAACTCTTTTGCCAATTAAACGACATTTTGAATCATTTTTTGAAAAATGGAGTAAATTTTTTTTAAATGTCGATAATCGACAAAATGGAAATCTCGTCCAACACACAAGACGCCGCACCCCAAAACGTCCTAAAACCAAATCGTCCCAGTTCAAAATGTCCAATAAAGTAAAAATAAACAATTTAACGAACTAAAAATCAATAATGGGACTATGCACTGATTTTTTCCAATTTTGGACTGATTTTTTTAGATTTTGCACTGATTTTTAGGCAAAATTTCGAAAAAATCGCTAAAAAAGGCAAAAATAGTACCAAAAATTTCAAAATAGGCAGAAAGGCACAAAAAGTCAAAAATAGGCAGAAATAGGCATATTAAAAGTCATGCTAGACTTATCGGACCGAGCTAAAAACACGTTTTTTGAACGTATTACATCATCCCAAGCTTGCAGAAAAAATAGGCATTTGCCTATAAATCACAGCCTTACTAATCAGTGATAGAGAAGTTCAAAAATTTTCTGGAACCGATTTCAGTTACGTAACCTAATATTTCCTTTAATCCGTCCAAATCTACCAATATTTAATAATTAATCTTACTCTCATTGAACTATTGTGACTATTTTGTAATTCATTGCTTAAAAGTTTTGATTTTTCTTGAAAAATCGAAAAATATGAATTCTATTTCGATATAAACCCTCCGACTTATCTCTAGTTGCAATGGATATAATAAATGGAATTCTATCTCAAAAGAGGGTTGAAAAATAGAGCCCCACCCTCAATTAGAGCCCCACCCTTTAATACAGCCCCACCTTGGAGGATAGTTGAAAAATAGAGCCCCATGGGGCTCTAATATAGGAAATACGGTATATAATTGACATTTTTTTTGACATTTTTCTTTGTCTTACGGATCTCGGATTTTACACAATTGACATTTTTCTTTGTCTTACGGATCTCGGATTTTACATAAATGTAAACTAGAGAATGGTACTTTTCGTAGAGGCCTAACTGAGACTAGATCCCGATCCTGTTCTACTCGGGATTTCTATCTCAATTCTCATACCCTCCCAGTCCAGTCTTTAATTTTGGATGGAAATTCTAAATTTCTGACCTAAATTAATTAATTTATTTTAATATAGGTACGTGGAATTCTCCATTGTGATTGCCATATATCTCCAGCTATTCAAGTGTCTTTTATTTAAATTTTAAAATTAATTAATTTAAAATCCCCCTTCTAGTTATCCCCTCAAATTTATTTTGATGCTATAACAACATTTCTAACAATAGAGTATTGTTGTTTAAATAGAGAGGAATACAAAAACGCTTTGAAACGATTATCTGCAATTTTACCCTCAGAGTCTCTTCTTTGAACCCAAAATTATTAAAAAAAACTTTCTATTTTTAGAGAGGTTAAACACGTGTAGGGGGGACTCTAATGGACATATCCCCCCTTTTTCCCTTTTCTTTTTATGTCCTTATTTCTGTCTAGTCGCCCTTTTTCCCATCATTTCATTTTTTCCCTTAAAGGAATGAGGGTCAACGCGTGAAAAAAAATTTTTTTTTTAATTTTTAAAATTTTTTTCAAAGAATGGAGGGTGCTTTATTATAGAATTTTTAGGACCTAAGAAAGAAAATTTTCGAAAAAAAAATTTTTAAGCTGGCAGGGACGGCAATTTTTTCGGCACAGATAAACATCCAAGCCAAGCCTTCCCCCGCCCCTTATTTTCTTTTTTTTATTTTGTGGCCGAATCCCCCTTAAGTAAAAAAGAAGGGGATTTTTGAAGAAGCCAGACAAAAGTAGGCGGGGTCAGAAAAAAATAAAAGGGCAAAGAAAAGAAAATTTATTTAAAACCGAAGAATAAGAAAGAAAATACCGTATTTCCTATATTAGAGCCCCACCCTCTGTTAGAGCCCCACCCTCTAATACAGCCCCACTTTGGAGGATAGTTGAAAAATAGAGCCCCACCCTCAATTAGAGCCCCACCCCAAATACAGCCCCACCTAAAAAATATTGGAGGAAAAAAAATATCAGAATAACTTTTTAGATGTATTAAGAGAGTTAAGGAAATAAAGGGGGATATCGATGATTTCGTGATCATTGAGGAGGAGGGATCATGGGGATTAGGGATGAAAATGGGGATTAATCCCGTTATCCGTCAAAATACTCTAATATCGCCTATATTCTTCTAAATTCCTCCTATTACCTCCAAAATCTAATCATTTTATAAAGGGTTGCAATCGTGTTATAAAGGGTTGCAATCGTGTTATAAAGGGTTGCAATCGTGTTATAAAGGGTTGCAATCGTGTTATTAGAGATCTATTAGATATCTAATCAGTAAAGCTGTGATAGTTAGGCAAGTAAAATCAGTGAAATAGGCGCCTAAATTAGGCACCAAAAAGCCAAAAAAGGCACAAAAATAGGCATGTAAAAAAGGTTATCAGGCCTATAAAATTAAGAAAAAAGCAAGAAAATACCCATTTACTCATCATTTTCTGTATTATAAACTACTTATTAAACTCTTTTGCCAATTAAACGACATTTTGAATCATTTTTTGAAAAATGGAGTAAATTTTTTTTAAATGTCGATAATCGACAAAATGGAAATCTCGTCCAACACACAAGACGCCGCACCCCAAAACGTCCTAAAACCAAATCGTCCCAGTTCAAAATGTCCAATAAAGTAAAAATAAACAATTTAACGAACTAAAAATCAATAATGGGACTATGCACTGATTTTTTCCAATTTTGGACTGATTTTTTTAGATTTTGCACTGATTTTTAGGCAAAATTTCGAAAAAATCGCTAAAAAAGGCAAAAATAGTACCAAAAATTTCAAAATAGGCAGAAAGGCACAAAAAGTCAAAAATAGGCAGAAATAGGCATATTAAAAGTCATGCTAGACTTATCGGACCGAGCTAAAAACACGTTTTTTGAACGTATTACATCATCCCAAGCTTGCAGAAAAAATAGGCATTTGCCTATAAATCACAGCCTTACTAATCAGTGATAGAGAAGTTCAAAAATTTTCTGGAACCGATTTCAGTTACGTAACCTAATATTTCCTTTAATCCGTCCAAATCTACCAATATTTAATAATTAATCTTACTCTCATTGAACTATTGTGACTATTTTGTAATTCATTGCTTAAAAGTTTTGATTTTTCTTGAAAAATCGAAAAATATGAATTCTATTTCGATATAAACCCTCCGACTTATCTCTAGTTGCAATGGATATAATAAATGGAATTCTATCTCAAAAGAGGGTTGAAAAATAGAGCCCCACCCTCAATTAGAGCCCCACCCTTTAATACAGCCCCACCTTGGAGGATAGTTGAAAAATAGAGCCCCATGGGGCTCTAATATAGGAAATACGGTATATAATTGACATTTTTTTTGACATTTTTCTTTGTCTTACGGATCTCGGATTTTACACAATTGACATTTTTCTTTGTCTTACGGATCTCGGATTTTACATAAATGTAAACTAGAGAATGGTACTTTTCGTAGAGGCCTAACTGAGACTAGATCCCGATCCTGTTCTACTCGGGATTTCTATCTCAATTCTCATACCCTCCCAGTCCAGTCTTTAATTTTGGATGGAAATTCTAAATTTCTGACCTAAATTAATTAATTTATTTTAATATAGGTACGTGGAATTCTCCATTGTGATTGCCATATATCTCCAGCTATTCAAGTGTCTTTTATTTAAATTTTAAAATTAATTAATTTAAAATCCCCCTTCTAGTTATCCCCTCAAATTTATTTTGATGCTATAACAACATTTCTAACAATAGAGTATTGTTGTTTAAATAGAGAGGAATACAAAAACGCTTTGAAACGATTATCTGCAATTTTGGCCCCTCAGGGCTTGTTAATTATGGGTGGAATTTTGGAAGAAACGTTTGGATTTTTAAAATAAAAATCTTCAAGTTATCACACTTAACACACTCTTATTAGAGAGATATATCCACTTCGGGATAATTAAATGATGGTTTATGTGAGAATATTAGAGACAGAAAGGGACGGTGAAAATAATGAAATAATGAATGAAATCAGGGAAGGACTGGAGGACGGGGAAATGAAGGAAAGAATGACGGATGAAGGACTGAAGGATGAATGAAGGAAAAACGAGGAATTTTTTGAAGAAAAATTCCTTCAGAAAAATCATGAAGGGCAGGGAAAAGAATTAAATAGTGAACGAATTCTCCTTCTTATTCTCCCATCTTATCCCGACTTAAATTGAAATTGGA